CGGGTCGTCTGGTTGTTTTCAAGTTACAAGTGCTGGCCGGTGTGGCTGCAAGCTTGGGTAGACCACTAGGTGTGATCGAGTCAATGAAACTAGTACGAAAGTATGCGTAGATGTATACTACACTGAGTGGAGGTAGCTGTAGGGAACTTGAACACTGTCGTCTCGCGCTGAAGTAAACAACAAAAATAATAAAAACTGCAATCACTTTAGTAAGAGCATATACTGCAGCCCCTTGTCGGGGCCCGTCACCATAGGCAGCGCTGTTAAGACGCGGGCCACCTCACTATTGCATTATTACGGCTGTATTGCCCCAAGGTGGTAGTGTCTGTGAGCTTTTAATGATGGTGGTTCAAACTTTACATACTTGCAGTACTACTGCAGAGTTTGCTGGGGGGGGGGATCAGATCAGGGTTTCCCGGCAACAGCCACTCAGCGAGTTGAGTCCGTCATCGAGAACCTCGACTTAGCTGATCATCCAGGTCCGAGTCCAGGTTCTCGCTGGCCAGTGGCTTATCCTATCACTCCACTGTAGAATGTTGCCCAATGCAATTATCTTTTTAAAATAATGTACTTGGTCGGCACAAATCGAACAGAAGTTACACACCAACAACACATCATGTTGCACACCAGCAACACACCCACTGCGCTTCGAAAAATCTACGCGGTAGGGCCGTCTAACAACAGTCACCTTCCCTCTGCATGCTTCACATAACATCGATTGCCAAGATACGTGGGATCTGGCGAATTTTTTTCCCCTTAAACACAATGGGGACTGCCCCCCCCCCCCCCCCCACTATTACAATTGCACTGTGCTGATGGGCGTTCTCACTCTAAGGATGATACTGCACCGACTGGTCTCGTCACCATAGTCACAATTTCACTATGCTGATGGACCCAGTCACTGTAGTCTCTACATAAATGTTAATCAGTAAATTAGTCACATGTCATATTTTTTCTTAGGTAAGTGAGCAAAAAAAATTGTGCTTTAGAATACAAGTTTCGTTCTCCTATTGAAAAGTAACTGTTGCAGTTAATGTACATGTGCACAACACGCAGTGCTGCCAACCTGCAGAGCAAGTTTTCCTTCAGGCAGGAGTTAACCCTTTCCCTAGAGTTTTTGTGATGAGCGCTTTTTTGAAGAATAGTGTGTTAGTGCTGCAAAAAACAATTTCAAAGCCCACTTTTACGTTGCATTCGCTTGCAATGGTGCATTCGCTTGTAAGTAATCACTAAAATCACCGTGCTGAAGGTGAAACAATGTCGCAGTACAAATTGCGAACCTTTAAGCAATATTTCATTTCATGAAATCACTATAAGGTAAAGCGGTCATCACATGGGGAAAGGGGGGGAGGACATGTAGTGTTGTAGTATTTTATGCAACCAAGAAAGAAGCAGTCGTTCCGTCTGCACACGACCATACAACATTAGAAGAAATACTACATTTATTACAAAGCATTGCCCCACAGGTCGCGGGTTCGAATCCCGGCTGCGTTTCCGATGGAGGCGGAATTGTTGTAGGCCCGTCTGCTCAGATTTGGGTGCACGTTAAAGAACACCAGGTGGTCGAAATTTCCGGAGCCCTCCAGTGGACTACGGCGTCTCTCATAAACATATGGTGGTTTTGGGACGTTAAACCCCACATATCAAATCAACAAAGCATTGCATATAGGGAAAAAGGGATAAATTATCACAATACAGTCGAAACTCGCGATAACAAAATCCCGATGGAACGAAATTCTCACTGCAACGAAATATTTTCGGATGACCGGCGATCGGCTATAGGAGTCAATGCATTTCGTAACTCGCAACTTCAAAATGTATTCATACCCCAGTCCCTGATTAACGAAATTTTTAAAGCACGAGTGTGCAAATAATCTATTCTCACAACATTTACAACATTTGAAAACTGCTGAAATGCATTCATGCCACACTTAAATTGTGCAAAACTATCGCTAAGCGATAGTTTTGCTTAGCCATCATTGTTTACAAAAAAAAAAAAAACTTGAGGCTCGCGACATTGATGATGGTGGCTTGCCAAAACACCTGTTCATTTTTGTGGACTACATACGTAGCCAAAGCCACAATCCTCATGGAGTGTCGTTCGTTGGCTTGGCTCTGTGCTTGGCTTTGTCGGCTTGGCGCACACATGGTGACGTGTGTGGAGCCATTTGTGGAGAGTTGGCGTAGTCGCTTGGTGCAACGTGAACCGTGTTGCTTCATCTGATTTCGCTGCCTGCGAATATGCCGCCCCCAATGAAAAAGCGGAATTTCATCACGCTGGAACATAAGGCTGCAATCATCAGCGAGGTGGAAAAGGGCAGAAAAAAAATTGACATCGCCGAAAAATTCGGCGTTGCTTGCAGCTCGTCCACGATTCTCAAGAACAAGGCCTCCATTCTTGGTGCACTTGAAACCGGCGCATGTGCAAGAAACAAAACCGTGATGGCTGCAGCGTTCCCGGATGTGGACAAGGCGATGTTCGCGTGGTTTTGTAAACAAGGTGCCTTTATCTGGCAAGATCCTGCAACAGAAGGTGCTGGACTTCGCTTGTATGCTCAGCCACGTCAACTTTAAGGCGAGTCCCGGCTGGCTGAGCCGTTTCAAAGCTCGCCAAGACATCATTGCCAAAGTCATCTTCGGGGAGGCAGCAGCCATAGACTGTGCGACAACGTCGTCGTGGCTGCTGAGCAACGAAGAACTGCTCGGCCAGTACAAGCCCTCAGACACGTATATAATGCCGATGAAACGGCATTGTTTTATGAAATGCTGCCGTCCAAGACCTTGGACTTCAAAGGCCAGAAGTGCCACGGTGGAAAGCGCTGCAAGCGGCGCGCGACGATTTTGTGCGCCAACATGAATGGCACAGATAAACGGCCACTGCTCGTTATTGGCAGGAGCAAGAAGCCCTGTTGTTTCAAGGGGAATTGCAGGCTGCCAGTAAGCTACACTACGAACTTGAAGTCATGAATGACGCGTGCTATTTTTAGCAGCTGGCTCCAGTCTTTCGATGCCGGCATGCGGAAGGCAAACAGGTAAGTCTGCCTTCTTCTCGACAACTGTAGCGCCCATCACGTCGACGTGCAGCTCGGAAATGTGCGCCTCGTGTTTTTCCCACCAAAGTGCACTTCGGTGCTGCAGCCTCAAGATCAGGGAGTTGTTGGTAGCGTGAAGTGTGCGTATAGAGAGGTTGATTCAGCGTTTGCTGCTGAATATACATATGAAGCGCCCGACTGACGTGGACTTGTTCATGGCGCTAGAGATGATCGCCGCCGCATGGCTTGCGACTAGTCCGGCCGTGATAATTGCTTCACACACGCCGGCCTTGTCACTCCGCCGGCATCATGCACTAATCTGGCAGAACCAGAAGAAGGTTCGCCTGTAGGCGCATTTGACGACAGTACTGGTAACAGCGCAGTGCCGCCGTCACTGACCAGTGCATGGGGCGAACTTTGTGCCGTGGCAAACGAGATTCCCAATGGCCTCAGCGTCCATGAGTTCGTTTGCGCGGACGAAGGCGTCGTCGTGCACGAAGAAGTGACTGATGAAGCCATCGTCAGTAGCGTGTGCGAGATGGCCGATCCCGATGAGCAACGAACGGAGCAGCCAGAGAAAACAAGTCCGCAGGATGTCCTGAACGCCTTCGACACAATTCGTACGTTTTTCGGCGAGCACGAAGACGACGTGGCGATGGCCTATTTTTTACAGTGAGTCGAGAGGTATGAAATTGCTGCATGGTAAGGCCCGCCAAAGTAAACTTACTGACTTTTGGAAGTAAAATGTTTTTTTTTTTTCTGAATTCTCTCAAGAGCAAAGTTTTGTGCTTTCCCCGCATATTTTGTTATTGCAGGTTACAACTGTAGTACTTCATAACACTGCTAGCAGTTCAATGCAAAACGTGGAAATCTTACACTACGATACAGCGCACTTGTAATAGAATGCAAGCGATAAAATAATAATGATAATAATAATAGCCAGAACAAGCATATAAGGTGCAGTACATAAAATATTCTGGCACTCAAGCTTAAAAACATGATAAATTCTGTTACTCTGCAATTTCTGTTATTCCGTTATTATTTTGCAATTCTGCGATTTTGACGTCGAGCAAGGGCGGCACAGAATGAACAGCAATGCAGTGGGGGAGAGGAGACACAGCGTTGGGGGCGGACACAAGACCTGTCCCCCCTTGCACCCTACTGGGCATGGCACTGTGTAGAGGGGGTGTAAAGGAAAAAAGGTGGAAGTAGGAACAAAAAAAAATGTTGTGGGCAGGAGGTCCCTCAGTCGATCTGCTTGCTTCACGTGGAAGCAGAAAATTTTCCTAGGTGTCGACTCATTTTTTCTTTTGCCTAAGTAGGTACAATGAAAATTCTCTAAATATAGGAAATTTCCCTAGAGTTGGCAGCACTGACAACACATCAAACTGCATGTATCCTGTTAATGTATACCACCTAAACACAAATGATGAAAACCATGACCATAAATAATCAGTATCGCAGTAGGCAATAATTTAGGAGCTAGTTTCCTAACATAGGGTTTTGCAAAATGTGTTTTCTATCCCAATAGTTACAATTTTGACCACAGGCAATCTGGCAGCACTAGAGACCATTCTATCGTACAACCTCAAGCTAACGCCCCAGAAGATTTCAATAATGTATGGGCTCTTTTCCCATCCCACCATTTTCACTGTTCTATTCACATTTTTTAGCTGCCGATCCAAGGCGAATCATACAGTGAATACATGCATATTTAGTAAAACATTTCACTAGACCCATGGGTGTACATTCTTAATTCTTTGCGGCTCTTCTGTCGCCATCTTGAATTCAGATTCATGACCAAGCAAGGGCCCCCTCCAAATCTAGTCAAATTATCCTTCATCGTTGGGGGTGCGGGGGCTTGCCTGGGATTTAACGGTAATTGTTTCAAGCATAATCATATTTCTATTCATGGTAATAGTGCACGATGTTCTTTATGTTATAACATTGTATAACACCATAATGCAGATCTTTCAAGGTGGCCAGGATCTGAACCAAAAGGCATCACCTCTATCTCCACCCGCTTCAGACGAAATGGATGGCAGCATCCAGCCTGGTGCAACCACAGAAAGCATCTCAAACGGCCACCCAAGCATTGCTTTTGTCGCACAGAAGGCAGCTGCCATATTCCAGATGGCACTTGTGTTCTCACAAGGGAGGTCTTGTGAGCAGACCACCCTGTTTTGCTTGTGGCTTTGCCAAGTGGTACTGTTTTTTTTAATTTCATCCTGTGATCAGATTAACCGGTCAATTAATTTTTTTCACTCCCATCTTGTGAGCAGACCACCCGATCAATCTTTTCTTTTGTTTCCTCCTTGTGACCAGATCACCCAACAAATTATTTTCACTCCCATCTTGTGAGCAGACCACCCAATCAATGTTTTTCTTTTGTTTCAGTCTTGTGAGCAGATCACCCAGTAAATTTATTTTTTTCACTCCCATCTTGTGAGCAGACCACCCGAAAAATGTTTTTCTTTTGTTTCCACCTTGTGAGCCGACCACCCAATCATTCGTTTACTTTTGGTTTCGTCTTGTGAGCTGACCACCCTGTTTTGTAATAGTCAGTCAAGTAATATTTTTATGATCTGTATTTCTTTACCTTTTACCTAAGAGTCTGCTTATTAATGAACATTGCCATTTTATAACTATTTAAAAATGAAATTTTCCTTGTGATAGCATCGTTGATGCTCAAAGTGCCTTGGTGTAGGCAGCTATGTAGCTGTCACATCTATGCTGCATTTTTGATGCACTTAGTGTCTCTGTGGAATTGCTCCTCTACATTGTTTTTTTTTTTCTCTTTATGCTCAATTCACAGCTTTAAAGTGCTATGAAATATCCTAGCATAACATTCAGGCACACTTTGGTCAACAAAAGCTGGTGACCGGTGCATTGTAAAATAACAGTGCTTAAGTGGTAGCTAAATGCATTGTGTTACATTTTTGTGCATTTAAAATTACGTCAGCTGGTTTTGGTGCACTGTATGGCCACCATGCTGTAGTCCGTCAAAATATGTTTTCTGCGGTTAGAGTTTTGAGCAAATCCTACTCTGTATGTAACATTAGCCGAGGCTGCAACCATACCTTGCTTGCATCACAACGCAACTACAGCGAGGCTATTGTGTGGTGCGAAAAAAATGCATAGATTCCAGGTGGTGCCATGCAAAAAATACACCATTGATTTACTCTTATATTTGGCTATTCCCGAGAGCATTCAGACTTTTGCATATAAGGCAGCTGTTTTCAGTCCTCCTTTCATTTCTCAAGAAGCAGTAAAATATTTACTAATTAGTACATGTTATGTCTGATATACATATTGTCGCGACCCAGCACCTCCACCAGTGTCCCGACGTCAAGACGGAGGTCGTACTTGAAGACGCTGAGAAAACAGCAGCGGGTCGGTCTTTTTATTAACCGCGCGCGCGAGAGTTTTTCTCGTTGTGTTCTGCATAAAAGTGTGCAGATGCGCGTATGTGCTGTCGCCTTCTTTTTCGCGGGACGCACGTGACAATATCGTGAAATTTCTGTGCAGCTAATTACTTGTGCCTCAGGATATAAATGTAAACCTTTCCTATAAAAGTTGAAAAGTTATATCTGCGTATAAGTGATACCCTATATCTGACACTGTGTTTCAGGGTGATAAGGTTAACAACTTTCTTGATCACACACTGTGTTTCAGGGTGATAAGGTTAACAACTTTCTTGATCACAGTATCAAACATAATGAAGTGCTTTGCTGAAACTTTCAAGTAATTGACGTCTCTCATCTATTTGTTAGGGTAAAATTGAAAAGTTTACAAGATCCTCTAAAAGTGTTCATTATATGCCAAATGTGCCTGCCTTAATATTACTTATAGCTTTGTTGGCAGTTTATTTGTGGGTGCACGCACCCACGTGACCACAGAACACCTACCACGACAGAGACAGTTTGGTCTGCATGCTGCGCCCTCTCCACTGTAATGGAACATTTGTACTTTGTACCACCTGCATTTTCAAGTGGTGCAGAGTGCTGGCATCTACAGCTTTGTGGGACAAAAATAAAGAAGTCCGAAACCAATGGCTTGTCTCTCTCTATAGGTAGGCACACTCACTCAATAGTCGGCTTATTCGGACTCGGATTAGGCCGAGATGCTGAAACTGCCGTTTGAAAGGTTTGCATATGCCTGGCACAATTTGAATCATCCATACCAGGGCGACGAGAAAAACATTACATTGGCCACCACGGTTATTTACTGTCCAACAGGCTACAACACTACGGCACCTCACCAAAGTCTAAGTGAGTCCAGGTGAGTAATATTTTGGAGAGTTTAAGTCCAGCTAAAGAAAATTTTCGCGAGAATGAGTCGGTCTTGCGGCTCGGGAAATTTTTTGGCGATTCAGAGTCCGAGCAAGCACAAAGCTCAAGATATAGTATTTCTCGAGAGAGTTTACATTTTTTCGCTGACATGTGGTCCTATTTACTCATCTTCAGCATTATGATCAGCCTTGATTTACGCTAGCATCTACTCGCACGTAATCTACCAGTGCTGCTCACACACTAATTCAATATTTATTGATCGTAGGTGTCTCTTACGTGGGGGGGGGGGGGGGGGGATGCCTTAATATCATCCTTGCGAGCTCTTCCAAGGAAGTTGCCGATAAATACATCTTATGTTGTCTTTCTCTTATTCGAAAGATGACCTTACTAGTTTGCGGCCACTTGCAACAAGTATTTGTAGGTACTGTAATGGAAGGTGCCTAGAAAGGCACTGATTACATGAGATATGAGTGTTGAACAGCATTAACCCTATGGTTGGAAAAGCAAATTTTATGCAGACTCGCGAGTCAACTCACTCGGACACTTATGTAGCCACGAGTTTGAGTCCAGGTGAGAAAAAATATTCGTTTGAGCGAGTCTGGCTCACGCAAATTTTGGTGGATGAACCCAAGTGAGCCCTATACGCAAAATGTATTTCGTGAGCGACTTCCACATGTTTTGCCGACCTCTATAGACTCCATGCAGTTGCAAGTGAGCAATAATGTTGCTTAGAATGATCTCTTGCGTGGAAATATTCTTAGTTATACTGGCTGTTTCAAGAAATGTGTCCCATTTTATTAAAAAATTATAGAAAGGAGGTATCTGTGTGTTGCCTGTGGCGTTCCATTTACGGAGGCAGAAAGCATCGCAAGATGCGTACAAACATTAATTACAGCAGTAGTCGTAAAGGTTAACAAAATTTTTAACCCGTAGAAATAAGCGGTCGAGTCAAATGGGCAAGTTCAAGTGCTTCTTGTGGGTAGTCCATAGCCACTTTGAAATTTCTGAAAGGCGGCCACAGGTAATTGCTGCGAGGCAATGAAATCTGGCTGATTTGGCTGGTGAAGCTGAAACGCCAAACTGCGAATCTACCACTCGCCTCGAAAATGTCCTCAATGACGACTCTGTTTCCCGGCAGTGTTTTCTTGCCGGACGGCTGCATGTTTTTACGCTTGCTTTTCCTCCTCTCCAGACGCAAGGGAAACAGTGTCCTCAATCAGGGTGTTTTCAAAGTGAATGGCAGATGCACTGTTTGCTGCTTCGGTTTCACCTGCTAAATTAGCCAGATTTCATCACACCGTGGTGATTATGAGTGGCCGCCTTTCGGTAATTTCAGCGTGGCTATGGACTATTCGCAGGAAGGACTTGACTTTGCCCATTTGACTCGAACGCTTATTTTCACTGATGAAAAAGTTAATTGTGTTAATTTCTGTAATTACTGTTGTAATTAATGTTTGCACACATCTGAAGATGCCTTCTGCCTCAGTAAAGGGAACGCTGCAAGCAGCACACTGATACCTCCATTCTGTAATTTTTCAATAATAGTGGTCACATTTCTTGAAACAGCCTGTATAACTAACAATATTTGCATGCAAGAGATTGTGCCGAGCAAGTGTTATACTTTGGAAGCATTTCACGCACTGCATGTTTCGTCAAATGGCTTGAAATGTAGTGTGTGCATTCGTGGAGGCTTCCCGAGTGAACATTTAGCTGTCATTTACTTTCATTGTGCTGTGCACTGCTGCAGAAGATCACTTTAATTGCTGGAGACCCTATCGTGTTCGACGAGTCGCATTTCAGGACCAATGTCGAGTATTTTGTTTTCTTTGGGTGAAATGAATACAATCTGAAATAAATTGTACGGGAATTTGGGCCTAGTATTCGACTCTTGTTAAGCAAGAATTTAAGCTCATTGATTGCTAAGTAATTAGATATTTAATCACTTGCTAACTTACGTTTACTGAAACACATAAAAAACAACACATTCCTTCATTTCCTTTCTGGCAATTCAATATTGAGTGCCTTAATATCGTACCATGCGAATTTGAGATATTTGCAGATAGTAGATTCTCTATATATCGTGCCTGAAAGAGATGCACGGCCCCTGGATGAAGAAGCGCACGGTACGGCCTGCCGCGTGCAGTGTATTTCTATGGGTGAGCGCGCGTCAGCCGTAGGGTCAGTTGCGGCCGCTGCAGTGCGACGGGGCGGGGACGGGAGGGACGAGGAAACGAGTGGCGACGACTCCCTTGGTGCAGCAGCCGCAGCAAATTAGCTGGTATTTGTCACAACAGTGACCCACGCAGTTGTTCTAATCAGTGTTTTTTTAATCATATTTATCACAGTGATGACATATCGCATATTTAGTAGACTACGAGGCGCTATCTAGTTAAAAAGCGAAGTGATTTTTCCTGTGCGTGCTGAGTGCGTGACTTTTTTTTTTTTTTTTTTTTCAGAACCAGCTTCTTGCTCTGAGGCTGACAGAAAAATCTACAATGCATGTAGCTGACTAATATGGCACTGAATACTTGACAAAGTCAGTGTTATATTTATAGAGATGTCTTAAACTAACATTTTTTTATTATATTGTAACGTTTGTTCAGCACTTTCGCGTTTTCTCAACGGCCGGGTCAAGTGACAACAACGTTTTTATTATGTTTACACATCGCGAAACTACGGCTGCTGTAAGGCAGTAGAGTGCACGTGACGTGCCTTCGTTTGAGCGAGCGCAGGTGCCTATTTGTCGACGATACATAGTAGAACAAATAAACAGTAATGGATGACAGAACCGCATGACAAAGACTGCCAGAAGACAAGCGCGTCGGAGTGCTATCGGCATTCGCCAGTGCCCATGGAGAGGCTAACATAAAAAGACTGTACGGATGGTTTTATTATTGATACACACAGAAGCCAAAAGTTGGGCGCACAAGCTGGAGCAATTGTCAAGCCATTTTATTGTGCAAAACTGTAAAGATGTAAAAAAAATATTAAGAATGCCAGGATCAGCCCTGAATTGAGAATAAATAAAATATTTTCACGCGTCTTGTTCCGATGATGTGTTCACTGTTGAATTATAGTTGCATTATCATAAGAGCGTCGGGACGGAAAGAGAAGAAAACATTCAAAAACGCAGGAACGCAAGCATTTGTGTGAGCATTTTGCAGCATTTCATCGCTTTTTTCGTCTCACAGTTTTCATATAATTCACTTGATAACTGCTCGCTCAATTGCCAGCATTGAAATTACAGTCACTGAAATTTCAAAGCGGTTCGAGTCCGTGCACTGTTATGAGATCGCACACATGATAAGTATATTTCGTGGCTGCTGCATCTGATACTGCATTGCATGAATACTATAGACGTGTTTGGAGGAAGTGAGAAGTCTATCTTATTTTGTGTTAAAGGAACAGTGGCAACTGCAGTTGCTGAGGTTACATTTCTACATGAAATTATTAAATCTGAAGCAACGTTTTCTGAAGCGACATACTCAGTTACTATAACTAATTTAGATGTATTGGAAAGGCGTAGCTCTTCCAGATCTGTTAGTTGCGATCTTGTAGCATCCGAGTAAAATGTGGTCACAATTCTTACTTTTGCGAGAACTGATCAAGGTTCGAGAACTGTTCAAGGTTCTACCTCGGGTAAGACAATACCAAAAATTTGCAAGGTGTGCAGGTATCTAAAAGCAAGGTCGGCAATTACCTGGTGTGCACACGCCAGCCAGATATTAAAAGATTTTGCGGGTCACACAAAGATGTACGCGCTCAATCCTAACTACTGCAAGAGCGCCGCGCATGCGATTCTATGGGAGCGTGCGAAAACTGTCCCCCCCTCCCGGTAGCACCGCAGCGGCGGTTCGGGAACTAGACCTGTCACACCTGTTTTGGAGCACGCTTGTGGTTAACTTGCTTCAATGACATTGCAGGAACACCTTCGTGCATAAATAACAAAAACACCTGCATGTGATATCTTGATAGCATTTACGAGAGATTGCAGAGATTCTGTCCCTTCATGCTGGTGCTCCAAGATGGCTATTTCAGTGCAGTCGATGAAAGCCATCTATGAGCAAACACAATGTGAGCCTGAGGTCCAACTACTGTGGACATCCTAATCACATTAATAATTTTTGTGGTAAACAATTGGTCATATTGTCAAGGATGAATTTTATCAACAAATCATTGACCCTTTCAGACTGAACATTTTAAATGCTGGACTAAAGCCAGACCTATCTAAAATCCTGCCATTACAGAAATATGTTTGACGGCCATAGTATAAAGCAGAGGCAGGCTGGTTGCGACATGGTAGCAGTATGCTTCGCTGAATGGTGTAAATTAGCAATGCTCCTCATGGCTGTACCGGTGGCAACACATGCCTACCAGGGTCCTTCTTTTTCTGTCGATATTAGAGTGGTCTTAGCTAATAGTTTTTCAGCGATAATTAGACTAAAAAACCCGACACTGTCCAAGCTATTGCCACGAAATATCTTCACGCAGCTATCCTCATAGTGCGTGTAAAATGGACAATGCTTCATTGAGGTTAAAGAGCCAAAATGGGCAGAGTTGGTGCCAAATAAGGGTCAGGTCTGAAACCAGTTGCAACTAGACTCGTGCAGGCCTTGGCCAAAGCGAATAATTAATGCAGTGCTCGATGTTGGTGCCAAGAGTGATCTGACCACTGTAGCTGGAACAGCTGCACAAGGGGGCTGTTCGTATGAACTTCGACTCCAGAATACATAGCGCTGAAGCGAAATGTTCGAGCCATATCAATAGCAAGCATGGATGAGGCAGAGTGTTGTATTTGTATGGGTAAATCCAGTGACATCACCTGATATGTTTAATTTCATTTCACAACTGGCACCCGCCACAAACTCTAATGATTATGGCGCTGAAATGCTGACCCGAAGTTCACGAGATCGAATCACGGTTGTGGTGGCCACATTTCTACGGAGCCAAAATGCTAGAGGCCAGTGTTCTTAAATTTATATGCAAGTTTAGAAACACCAAATGTGCGAAATTTCGGAATACCTCCACTAGGGTGCCTCTCATAATAATATCTTGGTTTTGGTATGTAAAACCCCAACAATTATTATACTTCACAACAGGGGGCTCTGTATCATGACAGGGTAGGCTAGGAACACTGTTCACTGCACACACATCAAAATAGGCAAACTGCCTGTGGTTTTTTATGCCCTCAATAAACTGCAAAAAGTTTTCCCTCAAATCTGTGTTCATTGTTAACAAGAATGAAACATCAGGCATGTAAACCTTCTCGTTGAATGCTCTTTTGGATTGCTGACTTCATTCCCATGATGTGCGGGAAGTTTTACATCAGCCAGCTCGAAAAACGCATCAGCGACTGAATTAGGGAACATGCAGTAAATGCAAAAAGGAAGACAAGTATGCATGTCTAGTCGTGCACGTCTCTGCATCTGGGTGTGGGCACATGACCAAGACTGAACTCCCAAATTTCAGGTCAGCAGCGGAGCACTGTAACCACTATACCACCGTGGCAGACCACATATAGGCATATAAAGTGAAAAATTTGGCATTTTGTGGTTAAACACAATGAAATTACCATCGCTACACCACTGGGTGGTACAATAGGTAACATAAATGTAAAGATCAGTATAAATTTTAGCACACAACAAAATGGAATGCTCAAGAAAATCTTGAGAAAGAGCCAAATCAGCACATCAAATAAAAGCCACATATCAACACATTTATTTACTTTTTTTTTTAAGATACACTCTGGACAGAGACATGCCATGCAAAAGAGAAAATAATTCAGATTATTTGTTGCCGGCTCCTGTTGTGTACATACAATGGTACATTCACATCTTCCCCAACACTACTTTCTTCAAGACAGTTTTCTACTCTCTGCAAAACAAAAAACAGAAGAAATTTTTGAAATAATATATGGCATGGGCTATCAAAGTTCAAAAAGTGCTTCCAGTGGTTACAGTCAGCTCTTAGCAATTGGCCATGACTACCTTTCGAACTTAGACCACCGTGCTGCAGGCTAGTAATTACTGTATTAACTTGAGAACAATAAAGATTTATCACAGAGCAGAATACAATTTGAAAATACAAACTTAAAAACATCCATTCAACAAAACACTTCCTTTTTAACCATAAAGTACGGAAAAGTAAGTATTGTAAAAGATTAAGTATGTATTTATATACCCTTCAAAACACACACTATCATATACTAGTCTTTTAAACTATGTAGTTTACAAATGAGCACAAACTGAGCATGATGAAGGAATTCGTGTGATCAGGTAAAGGACAACGGATGAAGAGAACACTATGCAATAAAATTTTATGTAAAGGTGAAGGCTGTTTACAAATGTACAAACAGAAAAAGAATGTGGCCTCTTTCTACTCTGAGAGTTATCACACGAACACTAAAAGAAAATATTGAGTTGACACGCATTGTTAAAATGGCTTTTAGAATTAAAGTATCATTCGAGAAATTCCACAGTGCCAATTTCATTCTAAAAAAATGCATAAAGGCACCCTGCAACACTTTTTGAGCGTGGTTGGAAAACGCGGCCGATCGGTAGTAGAAGCTCCTCACAACACGCGAGCCAAATAATGTAGCGCAGCACGCGGCCTGGAATTTACAATAAATTATCAAAGTCAGCTAAAAATTGCTTTATCTTCTCTCGACAAATGACAGAAGACGCTCAAAAATCACTTGTAGCAAGCCCATCTATCAGCCATTGGCTGATTTGAACATCGCACGCTCGGTCGTTATGGAGATGGCAGCGGGAAGCTGCGACTTATCCACACGTGCATGCGCAATCACACTGATAAAGCCACACATTCGAAGAAAAAAAAGAAAAAGTGCTCAAGGTTACGAGGCGTGGGTCACGTATTTTCTTTGCCCCTGCCATCCCTCCTTGCTTAGCTTCCAGCGCTTTTGTCGGGGCGAGAGAAGAGACAATGCGATTACAGCGTGCGACAAATCTTCATAACTCCGCTCTTACTAGACGGATTCTTAAACTTTTTGCAGCGTTGAATTCATAAGGCAATAAGCTCTTCCAGTGATTTCATTCCATGGTTACTTGAAAAATTGTTTCAGGGCCCCTATAATTAAACCATGCATGCCGGAGATGAGAATAATGTTTCTAGAAGAATGGCCAAGGACAAGCTCAGCTTATCGACAAGCTACCAATGAACAAGCTGGCTTCATCTCAGTGCTTTGCCATGATGTGGTGGACGGCACCACATATCCATTTGGACAGCAAAAGCAGAAGCCAGTTCACTTAGAGGGAGCAATTAAAATATGTTACCAAGAAGCATCAGCAATAGAGAAAACATTTTAACAATTTCTGGTCATAATCTGCCCAGTACAGCAGTGTAACACATAAGGGGCGAAATTATGCTGAAACTGCCGTTTGAAAGGTTTGCATATGCCTGGCACAATTTGAATCATCCATACCAGGGCGACGAGAAAAACATTACATTGGCCACCACGGTTATTTACTGTCCAACAGGCTACAACACTACGGCACCTCACCAAAGACGCAAAAGCACATCCAAAAAACATCCTACCAGATTGAATAAATACGTCTTTGTTTAAAATTGCATAAAATTGCATAAATGCGTCTAATACAAGACGGCATGATTGTACATGCGGTCTTGTATTAGACGCATTTTGTCTTGTATTAGACTCAAAAAATAAATTTTTTTAACCATTACAGTGGGTAACTTCAAGTAGCCCAGAAACAGTTTTTCAAATAATCATAGAATAAATTCTCTGGGAGAGCTTATTGCCTCACGAATTCAACACCGCAAAAATTTGAAGAATTGATCCAGTGCGAGTGGAGTTAAAGATCTGTCGCATGCTGCAATTGCATTCTCTCTTCTCTTGTCCCGACAAAAGCCCTGGACGCTAAACAGAGAGGAATGGCAGGGGCAAAGAAGAACGTCACACGCCCCTCGTGATCTTGAGCATTTCTTTTAATGCAATAGCGTTAAAGAGCCCGTGTCACAGAAATTACGCCATCGGCGTCAGCATCGTTGGTTGTGAGCGAAAAATCGTCTGTGAGCAAAAAATCGAGAAAGAATAAAATAAAAAATAAAATTTTCGGTCCTACGAAAATCGAACCGGGCCGTTCGCGTGGCAAGCAGGTGTCCTACCACAAATCCACAATGTTACTTACAGCTGCTTTGGGAAAAAACACTATATAGATACCATGTAGCGCAAGGAGTCTCCTTAACGCAATTTGTTCGATAGGTGTCACGACAAAAACGAGCTCATTCGGCGATTTGTAGGCACATTTGGGAGGCCGTCAAACTATGTCGAAAAAGGTTGGAATAGTGCAGCCATCGCTGCTAAAAACACAGGAACTTTCAAACAGCTCTAAAAATGGACAACTATGTCCATCTAGCGGAAAACATATGCCTTTCCAGAGGCGTTGATCAAGCAAACAGCAAAGACTAGATAATGTGCTGCCATCTGTAAGGCATTGTGAGACTCTTTATGCCCCTTCAAGGAAATGCCATTTCAACAAACTGCAACACTTGCATAGATTTAGCTTTTCATTCGCACGACACCATTAAAGAAGTGAAGTACTGCAGTTTCCATTTCACCGACCATAAAGCAATGCTTGTTGCGGTTACAGGTGTCCAGAAAAACAAGTCGAACAATTGCCACATAGCTAACACAAGGCGGGCCACAGAATGTGACTACTTACAAATACATGTCTCACGCTTACGTGCAGTTCATAATACAAGACCATGTGACTATATCACTGTACAATATTTTCGTGAAGTTGTTATAAAAGTACTGTTAAATAGATTGAAAACATGCACCATTACTATGAATACGTTGCGATTGCATGCGCGAGCGTTTGTGTGCGTGCATGTGTATGTGCATCCTTGTGTGTGTGTAACAGAACATTATTTAGCCGGATTTCGCTATCGCGTTCCAACTATTAAAAGCGATGCTTAAGGGTCCCCCAATTTTTTTTCTTCGAATGCGCCGATTTTAAAGTGCGATCGTGCGTGCACCCATAAACAAGTTGCGGCTTCCCGCAGCCATCTCTGTAACAGCCGAGCGCGTCATGTTCAAATCAGCCAATGGCTAATGATTGATGATTAGTGGAGTTTATTGGCGCAAGGGCCAGATGTGGCCAAAGAGCGCCAGAGCGATGATAATGAACTGTGCGATATGCAGTGTCGATAAAACAGATGTGACGTGGCTGTAAATGGGCCTAAAAACAGTCGCTGTAGGTGCGTAAAATATACATATAGTAAAATTATGGCAATGACAAATGATGTGTGCTAAGGAGACATAAAATGCTTGAAGAATGATACGTATATGAAATAAAAACTTGGCGTGGAGCACCAGTGCCTCGGCAGAGCCCATAAAACAAGAGCATGGAGGCCTGGGCTCATTGAAAGCTGCTATCACAGCGGCATTTTCTAGACAGAAGATGCGCTATGAACTTATTGGGCTAAAAACATTCAATACTACATCCTTTAGAAAGCCAAGGACTGATTTTGCGTCGAAAAGCGGCTCTTCGCCGAGAAACATAATAGGATGTAGAGGAAGATGATAGCGGTATGCTAAAGCAAAATATTCCTTTCTCTCTCTTTCAGCTTCCGGACACTCCAGAAGGACGTGGAGGACGGTTAGCCTCTTGCCACATCTACCACAAGTAGGAGGTTCATTGAAAGTCAGAAGAAAGCTATGGGTACCATATGTGTGTCCTATTCTGAGGCAACAGAATAGTAGAACATCAGTTTGCCATGTTCTTGTAGCGGAGGGCCAGTAACCCAACCGCGGCTTAATCAAGTGAAGCTTATTATTTATTTCTGTGTCCCACAAGCATTGCCAGTGGCTTCGCAGTTTCTTGTGTAGGAAGAGTTTTAGATCTGTTGCAGGGACAGTAGCGGTAGGGTTAATAGCGCGCAATATAATTGACGTGGCCATTTGGTCAGCTAACACATTGCCCTCGATGCTTCTATGGCCAGGTACCCAGCAAATAGTAACATGTTGGTTGGACATATACGCAGTACACAGAACGGAATACAGCTCAATTATTACTGGATTTCTGAATCTTAAAAGTGATCTTAATGCATTTACAATGCTTAATGTGTCTGTAAATATCATTGATTTCCGTATATGCTTCACAGCCGACAATAGTGCATAACCCTCAGCCGTAAAGATACTTGTTTCCAAGTGCAGTACAACGGATTCCGAGAAGGATGGTCCGAGGGCTGCATAAGCCACCCCTGCATGCGACTTAGGAGCATCGGTATAAAACTCTATGCATGAGTAGTTGGACTGGAGTTGTCGGAAATGCATTTTAATATGTGCTTCTGATGCGTGTTTAGTGATCTCGACAAATGAGGTGTCACAATGTATAAGCTGCCACTGCCACGGCGGTAAAAGTTTCGCTGTGGGCATAGGACAAAGTTCTAGCAGTGGAACACCCATTTCCTCACTTAAGTTTCTTACACGCAAAGAGAACGGCTTTCTCGCAGCGGGTCGATTATAGAAAAGGGTGGCAGCGATCATATCGTTTATAGTTGAATAAGAAGGATGCTTGATTTTTGCACATACCTTTATAAAATATGTGAAACTGCTATAGTATCGCTGCAGGTGAAGTGACCACTGATTCGACTCTACATAGAGACTCTGGATCGGACTTGTCCGGAAAGCACCGGTTGCAAGTCGGATACCCAGATGGTGAACGGGGTCTAGGATTTTTAAAGCACTTGGCATTGCGGAATGATAAATTATAGAGGCATAATCAAGGCGCGACCAGACAAGGCTTTTGTACAACATCAAGAGACACTTCCGATCACTACCCCAAGTTGTACATGATAGGAACTTTAGGAGGTTCATCGCTTTTAGACATTTCATTTTTACATATTTAATACGGGGAATAAACGTGAGCTTAGAATCTAAAGTGGCTCCCAGGAATTTATGCTCGCTGCTCACAGAGAGTTGGTCTCCCTTGATCGCAACATTTGGTAGTGGCATTACCCCTCGTTTTTTGGAGAAGAGTACACAAGTACTTTTCTGGGTGTTTATTTTAAAAGCATTCTCATCTGCCCATTTAGAGAATTTATTCATTCCAAGCTGCACTTGTCGTTCGCAGATAGACAGATTGCATGATTTGAAACTCATCTGCACATCATCAACATACAGGGAATAAAAACATCACACTTGGAATTGCTGACTGCAGAGAGTTCATTTTTACAAGGAAGAGTGTGCAACTAAGCACGCCCCCTTGCGGAACACCAGTATCTTGGGGAAATGATGTAGAGAGAGCATTTCCCACTTTTACGCGAAAAGTTCGATTAGACAGATAGCTTTCAATTGTGTTTAACATGTTCCCATGGATGCCCATGGCGGCAAGATCGCATAGAATCCCGAATCGCCATGTGGTATCGTACGCTTTCTCTAAGTCTAGGACTACCGAAAGTACAAACGGCCTATGAATAAATACATCTCTGATGTATGTCTCTATGCGAACAAGGTGGTCTATTGCCGACCTCCCCTCTCTGAAACAACACTGAAGGGGGTCTAGTATACTGTTACTTTCTAGAAAGTGGATTAAGTGCCGGTTTAACATTTTCTCATATAATTTGCATAGACAGCTTGTGAACCCTATTGGCCTGTAGCTAATGGCTAAGGACGGGTCTTTGCCTTGTTTAAGTACCGGGATGACTATCACTTCTTTCCATGACAATGGAATATACCCAGCTTCCCACATGGTATTGAAGAGGGTTAGGCGTGTTTTTAGTTCTTCGGGGTGAAGGTACTTGATCATTTCGTACATTGTACGATCGCCACCTGGCGCCGAGGTGTTGCAGTACGCAAGAGATGCCTTAAGTTCAGCTAATGTAAATGGGCAGTTGTAAGTCTCACTGGATGAACGTTTACATTTAAGGGGTTGCCGCTCTTTGCGTTCTTTGAATCTTACGAATGTTTCTGTATAGTGTGATGCACTTGAGACATATTCAAAGTATTCGCCTAGGCAGTCCGCCTGCTCCTCCACGCTCTCTCCTCGGCTACTTACCAAGGGTAGGGGGTGTGGCTCCTGACCCATTAACTTGTTTACCCTATTCCAAACCTTCGTTTCGTCGGTGTAAGAATTTATACTGGAGATGTACCTATTCCAACTTTCTTTCTTTGCAAGACGACGCATTCTTCTAGCTTGGGACTTAACCTGTTTGAAATTGGCAAGGTTTTCAGCCGTTGGGTAATTTCGGAGTAATCTCCAAGCTTTATTTTGAATATTGCGCGCTTTCCGACAATCGACGTTCCACCATGGAATGCGACGCTTATTAGTCATTTTGTTAGTTTGCTTAATACATTTCACGGCAGCGTCAATAATAAAACCTGTTAAGTATGCTACAGCATTGTCTATATTAAAATCAGCAATGTCATCTCCGTCTAAAAATGTAATTTCTCGGAACAGTTCCCAATTGGCTGAATTGGTGTTCCATCGAGGAAAGTCAGGCATGCATGTATCTTCTTTTGTTAGCTTCAACATAATTGGAAAGTGGTCACTCCCAAAGGGGTTCTTGAGAACAGACCACTCCAGATATGGAATAAGTGTACTCGAGACAATACTCAGGTGTAAAGAAGAGTATGTGTTGTGTGTAGTGCTATAATATGTTGGTTCTTTTTTGTTCAGTAGACATGCACCTGACGAAAACAGAAAGTGTTCTATTAGGCGTCCTCGCACATCTAAACGGGCGTCGCCCCATAGGGGATTATGTGCATTTAGATCACCAACGACTATATATGGCGGAGGAAGTTCATCAATGATGCTTTGAAATTGTATCTTCGAAAGTTGATAGCACGGAGGAATGTAAATAGAGGTAATTGTTAGTAGCTTCCCGACCAGCACTGCGCGGTCAGCAACTGCCTCAAGAGAAGTTCAGAGGTTTAATTGCTTACAGGCAACACCTTTATCAACTATTAGAGCGACACCACCCGCCGAAGCGGCAGTGTCGTCACGGTCTTTGCGGAAGATGGCATATTGCTTTAGAAAGTTTGTTTGTGTGGACTTGAGATGTGTTTCTTGAACGCACAGTACCTTTGGAGTATGTTTATTAAGAAGTTTTCTAATATCATCGAGGTTATGGAGAAGTCCTCTCACATTCCACTGCAAGATCTGTGTGTCCATTTTAGATGTGTTTTGTGCTGTGTGCTCAAGGATGAAAAGTTAGCTCACAGACCCTTTCCAGGGGCCGTGACACGAGTTTTTCTTTTTTGGATCGGTCGACGGAGTCGCCCCGAACCTTAGGCGCTGGGTGCGCCCTCACGCTCGGTGTTGTGTCCATTGCCTCTTGCGAGGCACTGGACACGCGCTCTTGCGAGTGCTGCGTTTCTTTTGAGAGCCTCGCCTCAAAAGACGAGACCTTCGCGGCCCCCAGCCCGGAGGTTGGTGGGTCTTTCTTGGATGGCGGAGCAGCACTGGCTGCAACCGCCGAGGGGGCGGATGACGTCACCGCTGGCTCACTACGCGTGTGCCAGACAGGGCGCCGGGGGCCGTCGTGGCGCTGCCCCCTGACGCGCCACTTCGGCAAAGCTGGTTTCTGGTAGGTAGGACACCTGCCTTCGTGCCTCCCTAAATGAAATGTTTTGTTTTACTTTAATTGTGACAATTTCCTTTTCTTTTTCCCAGCATGGGCATGACCGTGAGTATGCGGCATGCTCCCCATTACAGTTCGCACAGTGAAGAGAGTTTTCACAGGCATCAGATGTGTGTTCTTCAGCACTGCATTTCGCGCAAGTTAGGCGGCCTCGGCAGTTCTGTGAACTGTGGCCGAACCGCTGGCATTTGAAACATCGGAGAGGGTTTGGTATATATGGCCTCACTCGAAGCTTGATATTACCAGCCTCACAGCCTCCACGGAGTCGGGCAGTACATTTGAATTGAAAGTAAGTATCAGGTGCTTAGTCTGAACTTCTTTGCCATCACGCCTCATCCTAATTTGATTCACGTTGATGACAATCTGTTTGCTGAAACCCTCCAGGAGTTCAGCCTCTGTCAGCCCTAACAGGTCATCATCTGAAACAACGCCACGGGTGGTGTTCATGGTTCGGTGTGGGGTTACTATTAATTCGGTATCGCCGAATTTCACGAGATTAGGCAGTCTCTCATATTTTTTCTGGTCGCGGAGCTCTGACAGGAGGTCACCACTTGCAATTCTCGATGCTTTATATCCTGGGCCAAAGATTTCCGTCAAAGACTTTGAAACTAGAAAAGGTGAAAGTGTTCGCACTGGTTTGCCGGGTGTGTCAGCGTGGATAACATGGAATCGGGGATAAAATACTCTCTGGTGACCAAAAAACTGGGACTTCATTGGTGCGCCCTTTTTTCTGAGGGCGATCAGGGAGCGGGGGGAAGGAACTAGCCATGTAAATGTTTAATTTTTGGCAGTGGCGCCAGCCACCCACCATGGAGTCCTACAAGGGGACGCTGCAGGGTCTGTAAGTACAGGCCCTGCTGACGCCAGCTGTACGCTACCATATAACCAAATATGGTGTATCCAAGGTAGGATAGCCACACAGGGTTAACCCTTGCCGCCAGGAAACAGGGAAGTCAATGGAAGTGAGTAGAGGACAGGAAAGATTTAAAGTAAGAGAAAAGACGAAGATGTGAGATGGAGACAGGAAAAGGCGACTGCCGATTCCCTCCGGGCGGGTCAATCCGGGGGTGCCATCTACGTGAAGCCAGGGCCAAAGGGGTGTGTTGCCGCCGCTGGGGGGCCTTCCAGGTCCAATCACCCAGCATTGGCTCAACCCCCAGGATCCCCTTTTCCCCTGACATGGTAAAGCCACGCACGGCTAGGCGTAGGAGGGGGTCGAAACCTCCCTGTTATTTCGGGTCTGTGGTGTCGCTACACACCAAACGCCTGCTTGCGCAGACGCCCCTGCGGGGAGCCAATGGCTGATAGATGGGCTTGCTACGAGTGATTTTTGAGCGTCTTCCGTGATTTGTGGAGATAAAAGAAAGCAATTTTTAGCTGACTGACAATTTATTGTGAATTCCAGGCCGCATGCTGCACTATAATATTTGGCTCGTGTGTGCTGTCGGGAGCCTCTAACACCGATCACCAGCATTTTCCGACCATGCTCAAAAAAAGTTGCAGGGCCTCTTTAAGAAAACTTAACAGTATCTTTAACTTAATCAATATTAACTTAGCAACATAAAAGTGCAGCTTTTGGCACCTAGTATACTGCACAAGCACGGCAGCTTCATTTGCAATTTTGCTCCTGAAAATTTTAAACGTGGTGCTGATTACAATGCTTATACCATACTTCACAGGGTCACTGCACAGCAGAAACAATTTTTAGTTCTGTTTCTTCGGTTTGTTTTCCTATTCATGATAGAAGTCTTCTTCGCAGCTCTTATGCATGTCAAAAACTTCATAAAACAACCTTCCGGAAAGAATATTCATTTTGTTAACATCAAGAACTAACAAAACACAGCTTTATCATTATTGCACTTGTAAGTGGATTACAGTGAACCACTTCAAGAGCATCTTCCGAGATTTCGTTTGACTTAGGCTACATCACCTTCAACCACCCGATGAAGAGTTTCCTGAGGAAAGGGCTCAATCTGCAATTTTCTCTGCAACTCGAAAAGTGGCTCTTCCCAGTGCTTCTCATAATAAACACACATTAGGTTCTTGGCATTGAATCCCACACGCAGGGCCCAGGGCAGATGAACATTAACATAATCTCGACGTTGCCTAAAAAAGGTAAAAATACATTTTATTGTTTATTTAAATCAGCTGCTATCTTTAAAGCAGTGCTAACTCACTGTTGGCAATGTGATAACATGAACTCTTATGCCAAAATACAACTTTCCACACAGCATAGCATATTTGCGATGTAATGACCACAGTCGAACATTCAGTTTCACTGCATGTTATGTTGCACACCTTTGTTTAATAAAATATCAAACATTACCTAGAAGGTAAATATGTTTGACGAAGATCTGTCGGGCTGGGTGAAATTATACGAATAAAACAAACCCTTCAGCCACTTTTAGTCTACAGTTTTTAATGTTACAATTTAAAACTAAAAACTAGCCCGATGTTTCACGACCGATTCGGTCCCTTTCTCAGGGGTGAGTGTCAGGCTGGCTCTGAAGCTGGCGACTTTTCTTATTGGTGTCCCTCTCTCCTCCGTCATTTTTCCTGCCATTCTTGTTGCTGCATAGCTTTTCCATTGGTTCTGCAGACTGTGTACATATAGACACAGCAGGGTCCCAGTTGAGCAGTTAACGTTTCCTGTAAACATCAACACGGAAACATTAAAAGGCCCGTAAACCACCCAGAGGTCGAAATTCGGTTGTGGTGGGGAAATTGTGTACGAGTGTACGACGAGCACGGAGCCGTGAGAATTTCGTGAAACGGTGCAGTAACACCGGAGTTAGACGCGTTTGATTATCGAAATCGTGACGACCACACCTTTCGCTCTCTCCTGCGCTTCCCTAGCTGGTATCCTATCCCGCGCCGCTTTGCCCTTTGGCCGAGTGCCCCTCTCAATCTCACATGGCATATGTCATCGCTGATGCGCTGCTTGAAACACGGTCTACTTCAGGTTCCCGTGACTCCAGCCATGGAGTCCGTCAGTTGCGTTGCAGCTGCGTGCTTGTTGGCGAACTGTGACTACCGTAATCATGCCGGTACGGACCCTTTGTTGGGCGCATGCCTTCAAAAGATCGGCAACGCGATGGACCCGTACGCAGACACACTGGCCGCAATAGCTGACTCGTGAGCGGGTGCACGCAAGCGGGCAACACGACGAACAACAACAAGCAGCGTGGACAGCTGCTCGCAGACTGACCGAAAGTCGTCTCTTGCTTGAGCAATCAGGATATTTGGCTCGGCGCGTCAGAGATATGGCACGGCGCGTCACTCAGAGTCCCGAAAGGCCTGGAAATAAGGAGGAGGAATAGTTTTTAGAAATTTGAGGCACGCTGGCGGCTCGTAGCGCTGCCACGTGTATAATCGTTGATCGCGACGGCATTTCACACATGATGCGCGTGTTTACTTGAAATGTTTCAAAAAATATCGGAGGTGGTTAAGGTGTTTATGAGCCCTTTAACACCTAGAAATATTGATTGCTCAGCTGGCACCATAACAAGTGTATATGTACACAGTTTACAGAACCAGTGGAAAAACAATGCAGCAACAAGAACGGCGGGAAGAATGACGGTGGAGAGGGGGACACCAATAAAAAAGTCGCTAGATTCAGAGCCGGCCAGACACTCACCCCTGAGGAAGGAACCACATCGATCCTGAATCGTCAGGCCAGTTTTTATGTTTTTAATCTCAACATTGAAAACTATAGACTAAAGCTATCAAAAATACATTAACAATTAGAAAAAAAAAAGAAAAGAAAATACTTGCTCACATGGAATGCAAATAAAGCACTAAGAATGAGCTTTTCTACAATACCTTATCAGTGCTACACAGTGCCTGCCTTATTTCCACTTCTATGGCGACAAGAGCCCTTGAGCACCAGTGAAACGAGATGTGTAGACAAGCATGCATGCAAAACTCCACATATCCTTTGCTGAGCTTTATGTACGCGAGAAACAGAGGACTGTAGCAACAGCTAGAACAAGCTATTATTTAGACCGGCATAAAGAAAAGTGTGGAATATTTTACACAGGCTCAGATAATAGCAAGAGAAGTCTCTGCCTCATAAAAAAATACTCTGCCTCATAAAACAAGTTTTGGAACAACACTTCAAAGTGGCAGACACATAAATACCATGTCTAAATTAAAAGAACATAAGAGAGCAATGAAAAATCTGCACAAACCAGAAACTCCTGCTTTCGGAACTGTTTTTTGCATATATGTGGCAGAAGCAATGTGAAAAAAAAAGGCAGACAGGCAGAGGTATAGACCTAATGCGAAATCTACCATCAAGTGGCCGCTGAGCGTATTTCCGCCATGTTGAAGGCTAAGTGCCTTCCGCATGTGCCAACACAAAGCGTATGTATCAATGTGTGGTGGCCGATATGAACAGCAATGCTGACATATTTTCGTGAGCAATTTTTTTGAGAGAGGAAATTGGGATGCCGAAAAAAGATTTGTACAAAATGAACCACTGTGTCATTCGATTTCCTCGCAGCAGATAATTCTGTTGCTTCGTTTACTGGTTCTGACTAATGCAGTGTTTATGTTCACTGTTCTTAACAGATGCAATATGTGTTAGTATAGGCACTCATCAGAAAACATTGTTTCGTGTCATGCCAGAACGAGATGGTTTTTGCACCATGTGGTTGCAGGCACAGACAAACCGGTCTCTTGTAAGAGCTTTAAAGCAGCAACAGCTACTCAGGCTTACTTGAGCTGCTGTTGAAAGTACTACTTTGTTTATTAAATTGCAATGACAACTACAAGTTAGACAAGTAGCTCGTGAATGCCACGAATTCTCCAAGAGATTTTGACCAAAGGGACCTGTTGTGCTGGAACGCCTTGTTTTTAGTTTGTTTTTGACTGTGGAGTTTAATAAGGTAGGGTTTGGTGGGATGCTTTGCAAGTGTATTGCTTCACCATGCATATTTTTAAAGCATTTTAGAGGAGTAGCCAAGATGCCCTGACAGCGCCCCCCCCCCCCCATATATAATTTTCTAACAGTTTATACCCCAAGAAGAGCACATATCAGGTTCTTCAAAATGCTGATCCAACTTCAAAGAAATCCTGTATCTACCCATGTGCACTATGAAATGTAAAAAGATGCTTCAAGTATGTGACAGTTTTCATATAAAACTGAAAGAAATTGTGTTCTGGCAAATGTCTTGCATTTAATCGTCGTTGCTCCTACTATTGATTATGCGCTGAAGTGATTTCGCAAGCACCGAGTTGGTGATCCGAAACTGCTCTGCTGCAACAGGTTGGGATTGTAAGGTGCGAGTTGGCCCCGAAAGCAGCAATGTGGACACAAATACTTTAGGCTCACTGCGCATTTACGAGTGCATGCCATAATGATATTTAATCAAATGCTTGCTAATCGGCAGCTATTTCTTAGATCTTGTAAAACTTTTCATGTTCACTTGCCAAGTGCATGATCTCGAGATAAGAATTTTTTAAAAATTTCTAACCATGCATTAATGTTATACATAACATAATTGGATGATTATGTGACAGCATGCAACAGCATACATTTTGTTCTAGAAATAATGTACAAAGTTTTATTCAAAATTACATGCACCAGGTCGACACAGGCTGTTCCTTACAAAATACACTTTAAAATGGGTCAACTGCACTTTCTTACCATTATCGCTATGCACAGCCGTGTCACGATAACAGCCGTGTCACGATAAAGCCTCCTCCCAACCATCTGACACAACACGCACGATATGCAGAGAGCTAACAACACTTTATTTGCTACACTGAAAATAGACAAAAAATTTATAGCGTTGCACAAAGCTCCAGTCTCAAGACGAAATGCTTAAATGTGACTCGCTGATGAGCTTGTACTTTCTGATATTGAGGCAGTTCTTTACATATAATAACAATCACCGTAATAAACAGGAAATGCTGGTAACGTATACAAGACCTCACACACATGTCCCACGTCTTTCAACAGTGATTGCCTCCTATCAAAGCAGATACAAGAAGTTTTAGCCGCTACAGCAATACGATTCAGACACAAGCCTCAAACATGGCATCAAATCGGCAGCTTTTCCGATCCTACGACAGATGGCTGCAATTTCGCACAAGATCTTACCACCCCATCAACTGAAGTTTACTGAAATGTATAATAAAAAAATAAAGAAATAGGCTGAGTACAGAAAATGAAAAAAATTAAGGCAGCTTTGCACTAGGGGTACCAAGCCTAAAGGAAGTGCGAAGCTGGGCAGACTTTTTTTTTCATTTTTTTCCCCTCTCCTCTCTCGTTTTTTTTTTCTTTCTTTCATTTTTTTTCTATTTATTTCTTCCTCTCTATTTCGTGCTTGCTTCTGTTTGTTAATGCGTGATTTTGCCTTCGTTATGCTAGGCACACTAGTCTATTTTTTATCATCATTAAGGCACTCTTGATCATCATTAAGTAATCATCCTCAAGGCACTCAAAAACAAGAGGAAGAAGACTTCTCCTTGGCAAGAGCTCGTGCTGAAGATGCTACAGTGGAGCGTTACGCCAAGAGACGACAGCACACAACAGCATGGCCCCCTAAAGTGCTCCACACTTTAAAGGGGCCATGCCAAACATCAATATATTCAATTTCATGCACAAACCAAAACAGTGAATGATAGATTTCAAGGAATTTCTGAATAATTAGGGCATCTCTATGTAAATAAAATAAATGTTAAACTTTTTTTTCGGTAAGTCAGCATGCAATTTTTATCATCGAAAAACAATGAGTACAGAGAAGAATGAGTTAATTGCACAGGCCATGGGCAGCATGAGAGTTAGCTGAGGGACCAGTGGTGTGTATGATGTATGACAGGGAAATAATTACTGTACTATTCCAGCCAACAACATGTAAATGCATGTAAATGAGAGAGCCTGAAAAATGGAAACAGTAGAAATGAGGAGAGAACAAAACATTACTTTGGCTTCAGGCGCATTGCTCCAAAAAGTCCACCAGTTGAGCACATGGGCAGCTTAGTGTGAATAGCTTCAACCCACTTGACAGTCACTTCACCCAGCATGTGGATTGGCATTTCGAGGAGTGTGTGGATCAGATCGTGTACCTCACGATACCTCTGAGCCACGTAAGCCAACTCAGCATCGTCAACAAACTGTACAGGAAGTCTTGAGTCAGGCGTCACATTCTGCACAGGAAGAAAACTCCATGGAGAATGAAAACTAACAAGCAAGAATAATGGTCAAGTGTGTTATAGACAACGCAAAACAAAAGGCAATCACATGCACATCCATGTGCCACTAGACACTGCTTATCATAAATTCTTGAGCACCATGCCACAATTATAAAGCCATACCACCAACACTGTTAACAAACAATAAATTTTGCCTTACATTGTTTTAAATGCCAAGTGTGGCCAAACATCCTGTTTAAACAGAGCAGGCCTCATCGAGACCCATATTGGGCCAAAGGTGATGTTGATACGGTTTCGACTTGTATGTAATGAACTGCATGCAATAGCATATCCTTGTGGTCAATTACAATATGTGGCAGCTTTGTTAATCAGTTGCTTTTTACGCAATAACACACACCATTCAATTACTATTTCAGAAATCAATTACTTAGGAAAGGTTACATTATTGGAAGAGGCTATTCAGGCAACTCGGCTTTGAAACTTGAATTTGACAGGAGCTGAAAGCAGAACAACCACAACAAATGCCACGAGCAGCCTTGGTGTTGTGCATGTCTGATTTTGGCAGACTTATCCAAAACATCATAGTTATGGCTGGATAGTGACGGCCCTTTCAGCTTTCCATTAGCCCTACTGAGAGTTTTTTTGCCCAGAAAATGCAATAGCCAGGTCAACTCATTTTACTTGCTGGTTTTTTAATCACACAGAAAGTAGATGCAATTAGCTACTTTCTTTCTGTGCCTTGTACAAGTCGTATAGAGTCACAACAAAATAAAATGTAATGTTCTGATTCTGTAGACCTCATTTGGGAGCACTTTACCACCAGGAATGATCTCTATAATATGAATTAAAACCACATGGCTGCCATTGCATTTGGAAAGAAGTGTGAAAGGACATAAATAGGAAAAAAAACCTGCTTTCAATGAAGTCAGAGAAAAGGGTTCTAGTGCAAACGCAAGGGGAGAAGTGGTGCACAATTATATTCGTTTGCATCTGAATAAGACAAACCAGGCAATGCCTCATTTTTCAACAAACACTGACAAATGTAGCATTGTTTGTCTACGTTTGGCCCATAACAACACTGGATGAAATTCGTATTTGGTCAAGCGTACCAGTGGTAAGGCATCTTCCCAGTAGTTAGTGGATCAGGAAGCACTGGTCGGTGATGCTTCATAGTGTTTTCTTCTAACCAGTGTAAAGATCCTCTGGTGCATGCAGTGCTTGCTACATGCCTATAACAACGCAGCCAATTGTAATGTTATGCTCAAACTAAGACATTGTTTGTTTGAATCTTTGACTCTATGGTAACTCTGGCGCATTCAATCTGTTATATTTTCATTGAAGGCGTAGTGACACTAAAATATATACACGTTATCTGCATGTACTGGCTCTACATTCTACACATACTGGTTCCCAACTTGCACCAGCAGTCCACGCCAATGGGACTAATTTCCAAAGGTGTCATTTCCTTCTGAAAGTACTACGAATTGTAAGAGAATTAGTACCTACGTTGTCATGTAGGAACCGATAGTAAGTGTAGCCAAAAGTGTAATCAGGTAGGCTGCTGAGGTAGTCCAAGTTCACCGTACGAGTGTTGATTCTCGGCCGGTCTCTGCGAGAATCAACAATTAATGCACTGCTTACCTTATTTAACCTAAAAACATTACTCCACCTTAATATCTGTCGCCCTTCCTCGTCATCAGACATAATTCTGTGCAAGTCTCGAAAAGCGTACGCTCCAGTTACTTCTCCAAACACAGCCACCATGTCTGCAACGACAGGCAAGCACTGCTATAAATTGTGCACATAATCTTCGGTAAGCTACAAAACATTATCTCTTACCATCCCTGAAAGGGTCTGTTATAGCGGCAAGCGCTGAACCGACTGATATGAGAGCTTTCTGGGCGAAAGTTGTTGGTATGTGGCCAGGATACAAGGGACCTTGTTCGCGTGAGTCTGCACAAAAGATAAATATCGCCAGTTAACCTGACTACAGAACACTTATTTTGAGCTTCAAACGAAATGAAAGCAGCACATTGCAACGCAGCGTGCTGCCAGACTATCGTTGGACGATTTACCATGGTCTTGCACCTCGGCGCCCTTGGCGTGTGTGAGCGAACGACTTGTCAACAAAAAAGATTTGCACGCACGTCTCCCTTCAAGTAAACGCGGCGAGCTACAAGCGACACGTTTCATAGTTAAGCTTTGCTAAAGCACTAAAGCCGCGATTGTGTATATACGTTTACAGCATAAAAATGACTGCACAAACGTTTAACATCTGCAGGCCAAGAAACACCTCACTACCCGCTGCGCCACAAAACCAAAACACGGTGATGTTGATGCCGCTAAAAGTTTGCGACCGTGGTGAGAGCCCTACTCCCGTGGTAAACTAGTGCGTGCAGGGTGTAACAAGCACGGAGGATGCCACGAGCATGATCCTGTTTAACCGAACTTTCTTTTTATTTACATGCGTTGCGATGTCTACTGTAAAACATAATGTTTAACGAACGCAACACAGCGACGATAAACTTGGCATTTTGATGGACACATCAGCGTTTTAGAGATGCTAAAAACAAGGTCCGTGAAGTTGGCAAAGAATTGAGTGAAAGCGAAAGTGTAGCCGACGGCCTGCACGATTCCTCAAATTGTAGCTGGAAGGCCACTGAAGTGACCGATAAGATGTGTCGCGTTACCCATTACGATAAGGCTGCAGCAGAATCTCTCACTACCCACGCTCAAGCGCAGCTTTTCGGCCGCGCTTGATACGCGGTGTTGAGTTGAAAAGTGCGAATCATGAACGACGCAGAAGGCTCGAGCTTTGCGCCATGCATCGAACAGGTAGTACATATTTACAGAGTGAAGCTCAGTGAGCATGCGCTGTGGTCTGTGGATGCGTGAACTCCGAGATTTGCTGTGTTACTTAACTACTTTGTTAAATGCGTAGTTTTAAGGTGTTACATTTCATGCCTATGTGGTTGAAGCAGATGTCCACAGAGCAATGTCTTGAATCATTATTGATTTACCATGCCCAAAAAGACCACCGATGCGCGCGCGTTTCAATTTTGTTGAATGATCGTTTTGTGTATGGCCTTTCTGCATTTCCAGAGATTTAGACCCCAGCGTAAGGCTATTGAAGGGACAAATATTTTTTTGAAACAAATTATAAGCGTCTTATGCGCTCGATCGTTTCCTCGTGCCACTGGTGATCGAAACAGCGCCTGGCTACGACATATTACTAACACATGAGCTACCAGGACGGGATGTACTGAAACGACTCTTGCGTGGTAATTTGACAATTTTCGCTGCATACCCGATCGATGATATGCTACATGCGCAGTTAAAAGGGAGTAAGGGCATCTCGTAGAGCTGACACAATATTGATTGATGATGATGATAATCGCGCAGACTCAGGATGTGTACTAACAAGCCTGTTATTAGCATGTGCTCACAAACTTCAAGGAGAAAAGAAGTGGGCGACTGGAACTTGCAGAAGCCTACGAAGGATGGAAGAGAAGGTCAAAAGCTTTATTTGAAAGGGAAAAAAAATTTTGGCCACTCTAGGGTTTCACTGGCAAGAACCCACAAATCATCGCCTCAATCTGTGCATGGAGGTGTGTTGTTTGACAAGCTGGAACATCAGAGGAGTGTGTGTGTGTGTGTCCTCTATGACATGGACTGCATTTCTTGTTTAATGGTTAGAATTCTGAACAAAGCAATACACTTAAAGGCCAACTCTGCCAACATACAGAACTATAACTTCAGTATGTACTTGCCCACCATTTTTGTCAGTGCTCAAAGTAGGACTGCTGTTTATATGAAAAGCAAGAACTTGCTTTAACAGTGCTTTTCGTTTTACATTTGTGCAGCTCTTATGATGAATCTGGCCCGATAGGCTTCTGTTATTTCAGTTCGAGAATGAAAAGCATTATATCACGCAAATCCACTTTTTTTTTTTCCTTTTCGAGCTGCCAAGGCATGTACAAGTGTACAATAAGCATGCGTATGATTTTGCCAGGCAGTGCACTTAATGTATTCATGATGTTAATGTTTAGTACAAAGAAATGACATAGGATTACAGAAGACATGAAACAACAGCACAATAGAGAGCTCCCTTCATGTATGGGTGCTGGACATCTGCACACAGGTTTTATATGCTCCTCAGCCATGTACTTGTTTTTTATTTTAGTTTATTTTTTGCTGATTGATTCTCATTTCTTTTATTCGCCCTATTTGGCACGCTAGCCCTTCTTACTTTTCCATCCCCGTTTTTGCGCTTGCCCTCTCCTTCTCTTCTGTTTTGATTGGGGGAGAGCGTATGAGGCTTATGCATACACGCATCAAGGTAGGTAGTTGCTGCCTTGAGGAAGACAACACTCTAACATTGGCTCCAGCAATACTCAATGTTTACGGATATTTTATCAAAATAATATGTGAACTCACTCAGTGGTTTACTAGCCCGCTGTTTAGCTCAATTGGTAGACTAACTATTCCTGAAAGGCTGTACCCTGAGTTCAGCCTTACAAGCAGGGCAGACTTTTTTTTTTTTTTTTCAGTTTTCCAAGAAACTCATTTTTTAAGAAACCTATGGATTCCTTCGAAGGCTTGTTTCTGTTTGTCTGTGTGCAAATTGCTTTTAGTTTAACTCTTCTCGACAACCACATGATTTCCTGTGTAGTTTTTTTTTATACTGTAGATGTTAAATGATTTTCTCCTTAAAGCTTTTTAATTTAATTAGATTCCTGTAATACTGATTTACTATGTTTAAAGCACATATTTCCAGGAGTGGACATTGTATATTATCTGTAGCTTCAGAAGTACTTAAAATGCCTACAGATAGAGTGGCATAAGTTGTATACTTAGTGGGCATGCATATCTGTGTATATGTTCTGTGCTAAGTAGGCTGTCCCATTTTCTTGGGAACCTCTATAAAGTATCCCCGGTATGTTCAAGTGAGCAAAATTACAATTCAATGTCTTCAGAAAATGTTGAGAAAAGTGCATAGTACACAAGCTGGAGATTCGATTGTGCAAGATTGTAAATTAAACACATCAGTAAAACATGTTTCTCTCACAAGGAAAGCATACTCCAGAATTTCTTGGTACAAGCTTGTTTTTTCTTTTTTTCTTTTAGAAAAGATGTGCAAAAAAACTTCAAATGTTATCCATAAAATATATACTATATAAACAATTAGCTGTTATTGAATTATTTTTTAAACCTAAATGGGTGCACAAATATTTGGATATATTTTGTACATTTTATGAGAAAAGCTTTCTTTCTTGGCCAGAATGTTGTGTTGCTGCTTATCTGCTTATGACACATTTTGAATCATGGGTCTCAAACATATGGCCCATGCATGCAGGTCAGCCATCACACGTCTTTCATCACCAAACAGGAGTGTGAAGTTCATTTCCAAGGAGGCTGGAGGCAGAATATTCCATTTGAAAACATTTGGCCCCTACAGTTACAAAACTTGACAGTGTGGTGCTGCCATACAGTTTCAAGAGAAAAAAATTCACAAAATTGCTAAATAAAGAATGAAAATGAGATAAAATAATTCACAACACGAGACTAAGAATGATGAGTGTTAAATTTCAGTTTCACATAAATTCTCACATACCAGTGCTGAACAAAGTAACATAAATAGCCAGGGTGAAATGCTGGTGGTTAAAATTAATCTGGAGTCTCCTGCAGTGTCCTCATAATCGAAGCATGGTATAATGGCATGTAAAACCTGGGAATGTAATTCCTCATTAAAAATAAATTAACAAACATTATGCTTAGTCTGCAAACAAAGGGTTCTAGAATATACTATACCAGTCGGGTAAACTATAGTTACCAGTATAGTTACCAATCTCGAAAGTGATGTGCATAATTTTATGTAGAGCCACATTTGTTGTAATCAGTGTAACTGGTGAGCAGAGTGCTACAAGAAGCACCTTCCAATGTGGGGTGCATACCGACTATATTGTAGACTTTCAAAATTTAGAAAACAGGAATAGTAAGACTTTATTATAACATAGAAATGTCCAACATGAAAATAAATGCATAAATTATGTTCATTATTTGTTACAGGGTTATAATTGTTATATACTGGATTGTCGACAAGCATTTTAAATTTGCTTTGTTCCATTCAAACAATATATTATAGTACTTATCTATGTTTGTTATGTTGTACAAAGGAAGCTGATGTGGAAAATGGTTTGGTTGTTAAGAGCAACAGAGAACTGTGGTTTCACAATTACTTATCCATCATCAGCCTAACTACGCCCACTGCAGGGCAAAGGCCTCTCCCATGATCCGCCAATCAACCCAGTCTTGTGCTTTCTGCTACCACGTTATACCAGCAAACTTTTTAGTCTCATTGGCCCACCTAACTGTCTGCCTCCCCTTCATGCATTTGCCTTCTTTGAGAATCTAGTCAGTTACCCTTTATGACCAGCGGTTATTCTGCCTACAGATAACCGCTGGCCATTAAGGGTAACTGACTGAATCATTTACTTATCTATGAAGCACTTAAAGTGCTTTCGCTATTGTGATAAATTGGCCCATTAAAAAGTTTCATAAAAGTGTTTGAGGGCAGTGCTCCAAGAAGCTACATATACTGAGATTATTATTATTTTTTTAATTGCATAGAGCATTTGCAACAGTACAGTTGTAGTCATTGCAATGAATTGTTCAAAGAATGGGACATCTCTTAGTGCTAAAATGTTAAAGCATTTGCCACACATTGTGTAAGTGGTCTCATTAGTGTCCATCCGTAAAATCAGTGGGTATATTTTTCTACAGTTTTTATTCTCACTTAGCATCACTACCTTTTTCTAGTGACAGATGTGCTATAATTACTGAAGCAAAAAGTTAGTTTCATAATGCTAAAAGTATACCTTTATGCAGCATTGGCACATAATCAGAGGTTGGAGCACAGTTATGCAGATTATGAGAGGTGTACTTGTGCTTCTTAATCAGCATTTTTTTTATTTGTATATTATTTAGTCATTTTTCAGTATGTCTGTAATGTGTTTACTGCCTTGTATCACAGTTAAAATACGTTCGAAGTCACGAAAATGACACTCGTATTGCTACAAAATAGACAGTTATAGATAATGGGGCAGAAGCCACCCACACCTCCTAACCTAAAGCTCTCTAACATTTCAGTTGCACAAGACAGGCCTGGTATCAATACCTGACTTTCTATCAGATAATGAAGTCAAGCAGATGAAGCAAGAGTGTCAAAAAATAATCGACAGCATTGAAGACAACATCGAACAGCCAACCATTTTCACCACAACAAATAATGAGGTAACATAAGGAAGTTCACTATCTAGCCAAAACAGCCATAATGAGGCATTAACAAACTAATCAGCTATGCAAAAATGCATTCTATTTGAAGGGAAGAAACACATACTTCTTGGAATCTGGTGACAAGATTCGAGCTTTTTTTGAAGAAGACGCATTTGATGAGCAAGGTAGTATCGAAAGCAATAACTGCAATTTTTCATCCTAATACTTGTCGTGACTTAAAGATGACTTTCTGCCTTACAGGAAACCTGGTAGTAAGTAAATCAAGGAGCATAAACAAGATTGGGCATGGTAAGCTGTAGATGAAGCAAGTATTTTGCAGAGTAGGCATGACTGGTAAGAGTTGATTGCAAATTTAGTCTTGTGGGTGAAACAGCATGGCAAGCTACAGCTTGTAAAATTCTGTGATCTACTAGTAAACCATAAGACTAAGTGAGCTAAGTCTAGGTATAAATTTCGTGCATACAAAAGACCGAAAGTCTGTCATTCTTCATACTGATTTAGAACTTTAGGTAATTGAGCAATATTTAACACAATATACATAGAAACTATGGAAATTTAAGCTTGGAAAAGCATCAAATAGTGAGTTTTTTCTCTTGGTGCTCTTGACAATTCCTGGCTGCAAATGCAATCCAATGAATTAGACTTGCCACAGTGATTATCAGCATGCACAAATGGTAGGATAGCCGCCACTGCCAGGAAAAGTCAGCACCAGGATGGAAAACAAGAATTTTAATGTGTTATATGCAAAAATACAAAGCAAATGAAAATCTGTTCATAAATGAAATCCTTATTAGTGGCACTTGGTGTGTTCATAATTTTCATAGATAAGGATTATGTGGAACCAAAGAAATGAAGAGTGTGCATATGTTTTACAAAGATGGTCAAAAATGCTAGCACAAGCTGTTGCGATAAATGTCAGCAATGGGTCGATGCCTAGATGTATTAGAGGGATACAAAGAATGCACATGGACTAATAGGAGGAAACTCTGCTACTTTGAATGACAAAAAAAAATCTATGGAATGGGCATTAATTAGGTTATATGTATGAACTACTGATATACAGTGTGCTTGAACCTCACGATTAGAAACAGTCGAGCAGGGCATATGACTGGAGCCAACATTTCGATAAAGAGACTTTGGCAGGGTAGCTGCTGCTTCCTCAGCAGCATTTTTATGTGTATCGTGGAAGAGGACAACAGCAAACTTTTGTCCCCCCAGGAATTTTTCCTGTTCAACAATTTCTCTTCACTTCAAGCTCCCATCTTTCCCTGAACTTCTGTCTTTTACAATGCAGCTTATAATATGCTGATTTAGGGACAACTAAAAATAAGGCCTATTAAGGTCAAAATGGAGCAGGCTCAGTGAATAAAAAAAAAAAAAAAACTGGATGTGTAGATGGCACTTGGTACTCCTTTGTTGAAGCATAAAAAAAGCTATCTGTTGACAGTTCTTTTAAAGGAAATGGCAGCATCAGGGGGGCACATTCACTGTCATGACCATGAGTGGAACAGGCCGGCCAACACTGCTAAGGTTACACATACAACAATGTGCAAGAAAGGAGATGGGGTAACAGGTGCCAAAGTTTGTGGGTCTGTGTTCCAGTGGTGGCAAGTTGTTCTTTCATCCACTTGCATTTACCTTTATACTATAATTGCTATAACTTAATTAAAAGCTACATAATGGTTTCCTTGAATTCAGTATCAGCTGGCTTCATGCTGGTGGTGCTTAACAAAAATAGGTCCCTTGATGTGTTCACCTTCATTCATTCCTACGTAATATGAACTGACCAATCTAGGAAATTGGTGTATATAACGTAGGTTCAATCTAAAGAAAACTGGAGTATTGAAAAGTCTCTCCAGTGAAGTTAAAAAGAGCCTGAACACAATAGTGATGATAATGAAGTGATGAGATGTTGAAGGCAGGTAACCAAAATGAACAAATAATGCCTGCAATGTTACATTTCGTTTTGCTTGTATATGACTATGGTAGCTGGTAAAGCTAGATGCCAACATCCTCATGCACTAAAACTGCAGCATATGCAATTATTTTCTGATGGTCAAAATTACCTGGAGCCTGTCCTAGAGACACCCTTTAAAAGCCATAGTACAGAAATGCATTGACATGCAATATATTATTTATATTGAAGTAAATGAAGTCATTAACAGCAGATTAAACAAAAGGATTAGAGCTTAAAAATGAAGTATGACCATGGATACCCTTCACTTAAAAAATGCATATCATAACATACCAAACAAGTGCCAATGACCGATCCGGGACAGAGCAAGCGCCCCCTTCCCAAATCTGGTCGGATTATCTTTCACCTTAGGGAGGGGGGGGGGGGGGGGGGGGCTTGTTTGATATTTTACGGTAATGTTTTTTATTCAGAAAAGCCTTCACTCGACATGTGCTGACATGCTGAAAGTAGACTGAATATATTAAATTCTCAGCTGTAATAGAACCCGTATGTATGTGGCTGAAGTTAAAGTGATAGCATCTAGCATATATGTGCCTGACATTTTAAGAGCTCAACTTGCATGTTGCAGCTTTGCACTGGCTGAATCCCGTTTTTAGACGCATCTCCTTCAGCTCCAAAGTAAAGGTACACATTAGCAACTTATTTTGCATTGGAAAAAGCAAAAATACAGGGACATTTCAAACAAGATGGTTTCATTTCAGGCACTGGTTAGAGAAGTTGGATTCCAGGATCCATGCATTGTTCAAAGCATGTACATTTTCAAGGTACAATTTGTGCAATATCATTACAGTTACGATTAATGGTTGTACTGCCTAAATGTCGACTACCCCCACCACTTTTCAGAACCCAGAAATCGGAGGCGAAGGTAAGACAAAGATAAAATAACTACCAGACTTGGAAACTGAGTGCTGCCGCTTTTGGTATTTAGTGACAGCACACCAGGATGCAACATTTTTGTACACTAAGCCAAACAAGCTTATTGGCCTCTGGTTTCCACTGGAAGATGCCACAATGGAGAATGGTTGCCTCTGGTATATTCCTGGATCCCACAAAACTAGTAAGCAAATATAAAGGAGGGTGCCACTAGTTTGCAACTACACAATTTTTTTCATGTCCGAGTGCATGCTACGACAGTTCTAGGTGCTCCTATTACTCAAAAATTACTTCTGAAAGGTTGTGAAGGGTAAAATATTCAAGGATAAAACTTGAGCTAGTTGGCATAGATGCGCCATAAAAAAACAGCACGGGTATACGAGAGACCAGCGATCTGTCCTGTTGTCTTTTTTCTCTCGTATACCCACGTTTTTTTTTTTATGATAAAATATTCAGGTTGCGAGAAAATCTAGAAAAAACGATAAAGCCGATTTTGAACCTCATGTAACACAAGACGTTCAGTTTTTCTCAGTGGATGATTAGAGGCCACCAGAGATATAACCTGCTTGCCTACTGCTGCTGCGTATATTCTTCAGCAGCAGCATGGCATGAATAGGCTCAGTCTTGATGCTTTTTTTTTTACTTATAAAACAGGCTATTTTTGTGGTATATATTGCTGTTACGGCCAAAGTATCAATTCAAGGTGCGAGAAACTTAGCCAGAGGCAGGCATGCCCGTGTGTTACAAAAATGCGGTTTTCAAAAAATTGATTTTTGAATGATTTTGTACACTGACAGACTAATGTCCCTTAAATCCATTACCCCCTAAGAGGACAATGTACTCAATGTTTGCTGATTAGGAACTATGTAGGCCCTTATAGGCGAAGTCAAAACATGTCACCTCATGGTGAATGGTGCAAAAACTACAAGATGGCATCACCACCCTGTTTTTTTTTTTGCGCATTTTCTCACTTAATAAACGTCTCCTCGCAGCAAGCGTGGTGTCTTTGGTACCATGTAGTCACTGCAATGAATTGTTCAAAGAATAGGACATCTTTTAGTGCTAAAATGTTAAAGTAATTGCCACATGTGGAATACAAGACAAATTGTTCTGCTGTTTAGTGCGTCCCTTCAACTTACCCTATTCAGGTGCCAGTCTAACGTGCAAGTGAACTTGACAAATTTTCGTATATGTGGATTCAAACATGCGGTTACAACCAGTGTGTCGGAACGGAACGAAAACGACAAAAATATTTTGGAATAAATCAAAATTTACTTCCATACTTGATTTGTTTTTCTGGGCAAAACTAACCGCTGTTGCCTTATTAGACAGACATAGGTTAAAATAATCATAAAGAGGAGCATTAAGTCAGTTTTCAGAAGTTTTCACTAAGACTGTGCACCAAGACAGTGGTGCATTCACTATGCGAATGATTATTTCTGGGTTTTACGTGCCAAAACCATGATATAATTCTACGAGACACATTGGCTGTATACTCTGAATGCATTAAGACCATCTGGGGTTATGTAACATGTACCTAAATCTAAGCTAATGGGTGTTCTTTGCATTTCGACTCCATCCAAATGTGGCCGCTGTGGCCAGGAATCAAACTGTGCCTTCAAGCATTCACAATCGATTAATGGCACAGAAGATTAGGGCAAAAGCATATCTTTTTCAACCTTGCACACAAACAATGGCACCGAGATATTAATGCAGCGTTGTGAATGAGGAAGGGAATCGAAAGTTCCCGATCTTCATCACCGACAAGCACATGAAGCCAACAGACAAGCGATGTTACGTGTATATGTTTCTGCCATTTCTGTGTCGAGAGCTCTCTCCAAATTTTCTTGGTTGAACCTCTTCTTCCTTTGTAATGTAGTTTGGTCATCCTAATTACAAATATTATTCAGTACTCAGTCGGTTGTACCTGCTCCATGACATAGTGGTTAGCGTCGGAACTCACGCCTCCACACCACTGCATAACATAAACTCTGTGCCATCAACTTTACTCTCTGTGTTTTCTCTTACACTGTGCTTTTGTATATGCCTAAAACATCTTCCTTTGTACGCTTTTCTCCTCCTCTCTTTTCTTCCCCCTCTCGCGGTGGCGGCCCACACTCGCGTTCTACTGCAGCTCAGCAGACGGAGAATAAACAGCCATACCGCACGGACATCTTGTCTCACAGTCAGTCCATCCGCCACATGCCCTCTGCAACGTAATGTAGCTATAATGGAAATTTCTCAAGACGGCATTAGCACCCTGCTTTTATTTCATTTATTGTACTTTGGCACTTCTGCTGGTTCACTGACTTATTATATCATGGCACAGCACAGTTTCAGTGTTCTAGGAGTATAATTTATGAATCCAGACTAATTACTTTTCTTTATTGTTCCTTCAAAACACACCAGTCCACAAGTGTTTATGTATTACTTAGGTAATATCACTTAGGTACTCTTAGCTATGAAGTTTTGTCTTAGCTATGAAGTAGGAGTATGTCACTGCACCATGCCAACAACGTTTCGTGTGTGTATATACTATCATACTTTTTTTACATCAACAGCGCAATACCTCTACCATGTGAGTATTCTCCTCAGACTGTACTTAAAAAAATAAAAGCTAGTCACGGGCCACATTTATTCCTCCTTATGTCCTTGCACTAATCGAACAGATGATAATGTCAGTAAGTTTTAACCGAAGGCATTTTACCAGGAACTAAGTGCTCATAGCTGAAAGTGTGCAAGAAAAAAAATCTTTTTGCTGCATTACTTGCAGATGCTCATCCATGAGGGCTTATAAAAAACTAGTCTGCAGGTTTTCGTACAAATTCAGAGCACTTATCACAATAATAATTGGATATTGCAGGCTACAAAGCTTTAACTGTTCCCATAAATTCATCATCATGAGCCTGAGTACGCCCACTACAGGGCAAAGGCCTCTCCCATGATCTGTCGATCAATTCAGTTAATTAATTATAAATAAATTTGAGTACATCAATGCATATATGCCAACACCTTTCTGTGTGTGAAGTGTTGGTCTTTCTGAATAACTACACACATTTGTGAACAGCACTCTTTTTAATCTCCCCACAGTGAGCCTTTCAAGAAGATATGTTCGGAATCGTGAACCAGAAGGACCATTGTTAAAAATGGTTGAACTGTCTGCCCATGATTACAGCAATGAAACATTTGTGCCTGTCCCAGTGTTCAAAGGTTTGTTGATGCAACCATTCACTTTGAATGTCTTTATAATGTTATGCTGCTCCTGTTAGGCTCTGCAGATTATGTTCAGTTAGGCTAGATATATAATCTGTGGCTCAAAAGTAGTAAATAATAGATATCAGACATTTAAAAAAGCAGGTGTCATAAAAAAAAATTCACAAAATGTGCTTAGAGTAATGATAATGCAAATTAACTAGTACAATCAAAACCATTTTTAACACAGGCAGGTTCGTTTCATCCTGGCACAACCAATTGGTTGATGGTTTCAATTCCTTGTGGTGCAGCTATTCATATGGTTGACCACAGCTTCAAAGTGTGATAGTACCGCGTGATGGAGAATCTATTTAATCTGACTTTTATACACCTTTACTGCACAAAGGTGCTTTTTTTTTTCTTTGATACACAGGAAGTAAGCGTCAGGGTTGGAAAAGAACATTCTTACACGAGTGGTGTGCTCTCTTTAACAGGTTCATGTGTTATCATCCATGGAAATGTCGTGCACAAGAGTGAAAAAAACTGTTCTCTTTTTCCTCGGCCAGCCTACACATTTCACATTATCGACAGAGATGGATCTGAGTACAGCCCAGAAAACTGGTACATGTTTTTTGTATGACATATCTTCTCTTTAACTGTTTTTTTTTTTACAATCCTTCATACTGGAATTCATTGCTACAGATTAAGTATGGGAAATACTACTAAGTAATGCTGAAGCATAGCTCGGCATACTCACTCATGAGTACACTCACTCACACTTATTCATACTCATTTGAACTTGGTGAGTATGAGTATGAGTGAGTACTGATGAGTATGAGTAGGAGTGAGTAAAACGTGAGTGAGTACTCATGAGTATAAGTAAGAGTGAGTATGGACGTGAATGAGTACTTTCAGTGTGAGTAGAAGTGAGTATGAACGTGAGTGGGGGCTCATGAGTGTGAGTAGGAGTGAGTATGAACGTGAGTGAGTATTGTGAGTGTGAGTAAGAGTGAGTATGAACGTGAGTGAGTACATTGAGTGTGAGTATGAGTGAGTATGAATGTGAGTGAGTACTTATGAGTGTGAGTAGATGTGAATTTGAACGTGAGTGAGTACTCATCAGTGTGAGTATCCGTAAGTATAAACGTGAGTGAGTACTCTGAATGTGAGAAGGAGAGAGTATGAACGTTAGTGAGTACTCATGAGTGTGAGTAGGAGTTTGAACATAAGTGAGTACTGATGAGTGTGAGTATTCGTTAGTATGAACGTGAGTGAGTATTCATGAGTGTGATTAGGAGTGAGTGAGAGCTCATGAATGTGAGTAGGAGTAAGTACAAACGTGGGTGAGTACTCATGAGTGTGAGTAGACTTGACTGCGAAGGTGAGTTGCTGTGAGTGTGAGTAGCAACGAGTAGGAACATGAGTGAGTTACTATGAGTGTGATAAATATTTGTAACCATCGCAACGGCATCCTCAATACGTTGGAAATAACGGGCACTATGGTATGCAAGCTTCGTGTATGTAAAAGCCTTCAGTTAGTTTGGAAACTGGGGGAGCCATCTTACATCAGATGGGGGGGGGGGGGGCGAGGTGACCGCGCAAAACTCGAGTTGGGGGTAGCCGTCCATTTTATTGTAATTTGAATTTTCTAGGCTGAATAACTTTGAACTACCTGTCCCTATAGATACCGTTCTTGCTGGACTTACCTCTTGCACCTTCAGTCTACGCAACGCACTGATTATACATGTAAAACAACAAGGTCTTGAGAAGCCCTTTAATGAAAATCATCGCGCGAGCCGGTTCAGAAAAAAGAAATTCACTGCGCTAGCGACAAAAAAAAAAAAAAACGCTGAAATGGCCCGCGAGAGAAAGCACATTGTGTGCGCTACGCACATTGTGCGCAGCGATTTTGCAGTTTCTATCTCTGCGTTGTCCCTCAAGTGAAGGTTGCCTTGAACGAAAACCTTAAGTGATCTCATGACCTCTCAAGCGCGAAGCTGTGTGCAAACTTCGCCTTCTCAGTGCCCCATTAAGAAAAAAAAAGGAAAGCTTGGAGGATGGTTGAGCTTCGCCATCAATAGTATGGTATGCGATAGCATAATCGAACCCTGTTCGCATCACCGTTTCAATCTCTACCCTCGCTTCACTTTTCGGCGGCTTATTATGCCTTCAACAGGGCAGACACAATGTGCAGTAAGTGCCCAATTGCCCTTGATAATTTATTCTGTCATTGACGTAACGTGGGCTAGTACAAAAACACACATAACGCAACTCGTTATTTACCGTTTCATTCGGTTGTCCGCGATAACCCTGTGTACGCACACTGCCAATGAATGTTAACCGCGTCCGCAGATCCGTAAATAAGGCCCCCTGCAATCGTCAGTGCGGGCACGGAGCCAACGAAGTCTCCGCATGAGCGCGACCCACAGAGGAAGGAAAACATCTCCGACGATGCGCACAATTTCTCGAATGCAAAACTGTCGTACGCAACGCATTCCATTTGAAGGCGAGGCAGCGAGGGGAGGCGCCGTCTCGACGGTCGCGCCGGGCCACAGAACACCTACCAGTCGCCGGGGTGGCCGCGGCGCTGACGTGGCGGCGAGGCCCCGGCGCCCGCCTATCCCGCTAGTGCAGTCAGAAGGGGCTAGGGGCAGTGTAACAAACGAAGCGGCTGAGCCGGATGGCATGGCAACGTCTTGGGTTCTGGCGGGTAATCATAGCGGCGACCGTGTAGCATACTGAAGCTGTCGAGAGCGTCTCTATTTCGCGTGCGTGCGTCGTAGCCTACGAAAGCGCGTTTTCAGTGCTTGTAACAGATTACTAAGATTCTAAACGATGTCTCAGCGTCTCCTGCGCGTCATGGCACACAAATGAATGTACAGGTGCGTTGTAATTGCGCTGAGTCATTGACTGTTTGTGGAGCCTACCGACCCTAAAAGAAAACAACAATCGATCAGCTCAATTGTTTCTTGAGTAACCTGAGTACACGCATCGCTACCTCAATGTTAATATTCATCATCGGCCTGACAACGTCCACTGCAGGACAAAGGCCTCTCCCATGATCCGCCATTCAACTGGGTCCTGTGCTTGCTGCTGCCATTATGTACCCGCGAACTTCCTAATCTCATCTGCCCACCTAACTTACTGTCTCCCCCTAACCCGTTTGCTTTCTATGGAAATCCGGTCAGTTATGCTTAATGACCAGCTGTTATCCAGCCTACGCGCTACATGCCCGGCCCATGTCCATTTCTTCTTCTTGATTACAACTATGATATCCTTAACGCCGGTTTGTTCCCTGATGCACTCTGCTATCTTCTTGACTCTTAAGGTTACAACTACTACTTTCCTTTCCATCGCTCTCGGCGTCGTCCTCAATTTAAGCTGAATCCTCTTTGTAAGCCTCCAGGTTTCTGCTCAGTAGGTAAGTACCAGCAAGATGCAGGTGTTATGTACCTTCGTCTTGAGGGGATAGTGACAATCTACCAGACATGAGCTGAGAATGCTTGCCGAATCTTCTCCACCCCACTCTTATTCTTCTAGTTACTTCAGTCTCGTGGCTTGGCTCCGCAGGTACTACTTGTCCTAAGTAGACGTATATACCTTTTCCAACTTCAAGTGCACTGCCACCTATCTCGAAGCGCTGTTTTCATTCGAGGTTGTTGTTCATTACTTTCGTTTTCTGCCGGTTATTTTGTAGATTCCAAGAAAAGGAAAGTGAGAAAAGGGGAAACAAAGTTTGGTGGGCAGGTGAGATTAGGAAGTTTGCGGGTATGAAGTGGCAACAGCAAGCAAAGGACCGAGTTGACTGGCGGAACAGGGGAGATGCCTTTGTCCTGCTGTGATGATGATGAGTACGTGAATGTAAAAGTACGTGAGTGAGTACGCCTGAGTATGGGTAGGCGTAAGTATGAAGGTGAATTCTTATGTGAGTGCGGAGATGAGTGAGGGCCTATGATCTTGAGCAGGCGTGAGTATGAAGGTGAGTGAGTAACTATGAGCCTTAATTGAGGTGCACAAAAAATTGAAGTACAAAATGGAGACACCTGGACACGGCACGCTGTCTCGAGGTTTTTTCCTTTTGTACTTCAATATTTCGCGCACCTCAGTTAATATGAATTACCAACTCGCCCAGCAGTTCATGTTTCTGTTCTGTTCTATTTTAACTGTTTTGCTGTGGAGAGGTTGAGGTGCCTATTGCCTCGGCTACTCCATATCACAAAGTTCTGCAGCGAAAAATAAAATAACAATACAGAACGGTACCCAAAAATTAACAATACGGAAAAGAAAAAAAAACATAATAGCACACTTAAACCAGTTCAAATATTATGCCAATACACAGTTTTCTTAGTGCAGTTCACACAGTCAAACTATTTACACGCACACCTTACTATTCTACTGTCAGTATATAAATGACCACATTTTATATATACCCATCTCTGGCTGTCTGTCATAGGCGCTTGTCCAGTCCGGTCTCCACTAAAAAGTCTGTCAGGAAGATTATTGCCTTTTTCTGGAGATGCATCTCAGGCCATGGTCCAAGTAGTTTTTTTATTGTGAGGGGCCGTCTGTCCAAACTTGCTAATTTGTTCTTTAATTTTTCTCTTTCATTCGCGTATTTAACGCACTCCAAAAGAAAAGAACTTTCTTTCTAACCGGCAGCAATTCACCATTGTTAATGACTTTTCATCCCCACTTTCATACGTTTGTTCTGGTGTGCCGCAAGGGAGTGTTCTCGGTCCACTGCTTTTTCTTATTTATAATAATGACTTACCAAGTAATTTATCCTCACAAGTGTGCATTTTCGCTGATGACTGTATAATTTACCGAGCAATAACTAGTACTTGTGACCACGTAATAATTCAAAATGACCTCGACCTCATCAGCAATTGGTGTAATAGTTGGCTAATGTCCCTTAATTCAAGTAAATGTAAAGTAATGTCCTTCTCTCGCAAACATTCTAACTCTGAGTTTTTTTACTTTATTAATGGTAATACCGTATCTTGTGTTGACTCTTTTAAATATTTAGGTGTAACCTTCACATCTAACCTTTCTTGGACTACCCACATCACCAACATCTGCAGTGATGCCTCACGATCATTAGGCTACATACGCCGCAATCTACGTAAGACGCCCACAAATATACGTGCTTTAGCTTACGTAACATTTGTTCGCCCTCAGCTAGAATTCGCTTCTGCAGTTTGGTCTTCTCATTACAGCTATTTAACTAACATGCTGGAATCGATCCAGAATAGAGCCGCTAAATTCATCTCACAAAACTACGACATTGCGCAAGCATAAAACAAATTAAAAAAAAACTCATTACTTTCCCTTTTGAGCAGCTGACGTGACCTAAACCTCCTTTCATTACTCCATAAATACGTACATGAAACAAGGCCATTATCATTGACATTGCAAACATCTGCATTCACATCAAAGAGACTAAATAATCATCTTTCATTCACACGCATATACGGTATAACATACATTTTTAACTCATCTGCACTCCCCTGTGTCATCCGAATGTGGAACAGCCTTCCAAATGAAATCGTTGCAGAACGCAATCGGGAAAAATTCCGGCACCTTCTACTCACCCATTTACAAGATTAATTGCACGTTTTATTCATATCAAAATCGGCACCTACGCGTTTATTCACTACTAGTATCTCGCTTTTTTTTTCTCTTAACTTAAGCTTATTTTGTTTGATGGTTTGAATACTAACATGTCATTCAGTTCTTTTGTGTTTTATTCAGTGATGTTTTCTTTTGAATAATGATAAGTCTTTTCACAATTTGTGCTTGTTTTTTTAGCTTGTTTTAAATCATTACCTCACGCGTATACTCATCTGATGTTCATTGCCGTTCTATTCCTATTAAAATTATTATTAATATTTTCTCAGTCTTATACCTGTTAAGACATGTATAATAATTGACATTTAGTTCATGTTATTGTTTGTATGGAAAGTGTACCAATTCATGTATGCATTCCCTTTATGCTCCCCTTACACAATGCCCTATTGGGTCTGTAAGGTATTTTGAATAAATAAATAAATATGGCGAACATTTTCTTCTGCATGACCACAATGGCATTCCGGTGAGTTGGATAGATGTATCTTGTGCAGGAAGCTGTTTGTGTATGCTACTTCCAATCGAAGTCGGTGGATTAATGTCTCTAGGTGTCGTGGGAGGTCTGTAGCTATGAAAAATTTTCTGTGTGGATCAACTTCATAAAGTACCGTTTCCTTTGATTTAGGGCTCTCAAACCACTTCTCCATCGAACAATGGTTAGCTCCTTGCGATATAAAATGTCGAATATCCGCCCCAGACATAGAGATTGCGCAATGCCGTCCTTCTTTCAATGCTTTCTTCACGAGGCTATCAGCCTCTTCATTTCCCTTTATTCTAATGTGGCTGGGTATCCATTGGAATACGATGTCGTGACCCTGCGATGAGGCATATTACACAGTTTCTGCAATACATTGTGCTATTTCACCATTTTTGTAAGGTGATCTCACATTTCTGATTAGCTGAAGAGCAGGTTTGCTATCAGTGCATATCACCCATTTTCGTGGCTCAGGATTCTCGCAGATAAGCTTAACTGCTTCAAAGATAGCCACCAATTCTGCTGTCGTCGATGAAGAGTTGTGCGATAATTTGTACATCTTCTTTTTCTGAATTTCGGGTATAAAGTCCATGTTTCTCTAAGATAGTGAGTAGTCGTGAGTATGAACGTAAGCCATGAACAATGAGTGTGAGTAGGCGTGAGTATGAACGGGAGTGACTGTGAGTAGGCATGAGTATGAACGTGAGTGACTGTGAGTAGTCGTATGAACCTGAGTGAGGGCCTATGAGTGCTAGCTGGCCTGAGTGTGAACGTAAGTGAGTACTCACAAGTGTGAGTAGTCGTGAGTATGAACGTGAGTAAGGGCCTAGAGTGTGAGTTGGCGTAAGTTTGAACGTGAGTGAGTACTCATGAGTATGAGTAAGAGTGAGTATGAACGTGAATGAGTACTTTCAGTGTGAGTAGAAGTGAGTTTGAACGTGAGTGAGTACTCATGAGTGTGAGAAGGAGTGAGTATGAACGTGAGTGAGGGCCTATGAGTGGGAGTAGACATGAGTATGAACGTGAGTGAGGGTGAAGGCTGAAAAAATTGTGGTGAGTGAGTATGAGTGAGTAGTCTCTCAAAGTGCCGACTTATGTGCTGAAGTGATTGATTAGTGCCTCAAAGTATCCAAACAATTGTTTTGCCGAGAACACAGCTTCCACAAGTGGAAAAAACTTCATAAAAGTAGAAAGATGATGTCTGAATGGTCGAACAAGCAATTGGTAAGTTGTGGTGAAACAATGATAATGTTTTTATTTGATAAATTTTCATTTTTTTTCTTCATTATATCTATCTCCAGCACTATTTGCAGCAATGTAGTCCTTTTTTTAACTTAAAAAAATGTGGGCAGTCAATTGTAATAATTTAGCAGATAATGAGTTAATTTGGCATTATATGGCATTTGCCCCCATCTTGTGCAGGTTGTCATAAAGATAAGGAACATGATCGCCATTAATCAGAGAGGTAACAATTCTTCAAGTCCAGACCAGCCGACACTTTCCCACTGAGTTCTCGTCATTTCTGCTAGTAACACTACTGTGCCAGCTAGTGGTGTTCATTCTAAGGAATCTACAGATAAATGTGAAAGAGGCTAGATTGTGATGCTTGAAGAACTTCACAAGCAGTGTAACACAACTCTAATTTGTTTCAGGTTACAACCAAGTGAAGAACTTCCTTTTCCATCACTTTACGAAAACTCCTAGGTACAATGAATGATTGGTCCAAGCATGTGCAAGTTGTTCGTACCACACCTGCACTACACCTAAGTAGAATTGAAAAGCTAGTAGTAAGAGGTACCGTACAGAGTACTTTGTCTCGCTTAGCAAGAGCACATTTTGTTTCTTTCTTTTGCATTTCATTATACACAGCCTTTTTTAAGGGTTATTCTGTATGACTGTTCTGTAAAGGCTTTCTACCGAACATTTTTACTGTCAGCTAGAGCAAGACATCTTTATTTACACATGTAAAAACATGAAACTTTTTGTTGAAAGTATTTTCTTGCATTATAACGATGTCAAAGAAAGGTGCATGTGTTGTATACCAGCATTTCCCAGAAAGTTGCCAAGTTGCATTTTGCTTTATACGCTGCATTTAGCTATCAAAGCTACAAAGAGTGACTTCCTATGAACAATCCTATTTTAGAAGGACCTAAGAAGTACTACATGCGCTTCTGTTTTTAATAAACAGAGCATTTGTTTTTCGTGGATACTGTGGATGTGTTTTTCTTAGATGAAGTTGAATGAGATAAAAAAAGAATATTTGGTATCACACTTAATGATGCACACACAAGCAAGCATGTTTCACATAACACAAAATAAACAAGAAAGTGGAGACACATATCGATTTCATAGTAATATAGATTAACACTTTTTATGTGATTTGCCACCTAATCAGTTAAAGCTGAACAGTGCAGACTTATACATTATTTACGAGCTGAGGTTGCATCTGAAAAGCTGCAGGGCATGCTTAGAAAATACCCTCTGAAGTTCTTCTTTAGACACCTCTTTTGGCATAGCTCATCTTGGGCGCTAGCAAATAATGAACCAGAAAGCTCACAAAATCTGAGAGAAAAAAAAGGGGAGGGGGAAGAAAGGCACCATAGGTTCATGAATCTGTATTACAGCACTCCATAATGTTTCTCAAAGCACACAGAGTCATTGCAGAAATAAAGCTGTAGGCCAATGCATCTACGAGCCAGGCAGTCATATATTGGCACCATTTTCATGAGTTTGAAAATGCACCAGTCCCAAATTATAAGGAGAACACCAGCACTGAAAATGGTACGAAACGCACCCACCATTTTTTTTTTATAATATGCATATGGGCTTCATTTTTTTGTAAAAATAACTGAAAGTAATACAGTCTAGATACACATGTACTCATTAGTGTTATTATTATTACATATGACCTTTTTAGACCTCTTTCCGAAGTTCGTTAAAAAGTGAAACATGGTGAAAATTAATGAGCATGCTATACCACCTTTCAAATGCAAGCTTTTCTCTAAATTTAGCACTAAAAAACTGTGACCTTGGCTCTGCAATTAAGGAATTTCGCAGCGGAGCACAAGATCGCAGATCCTGTAACTAGCTGTGGAAGTCATTTTAGAACCATTCGTAGCACAGATCTAAAGTGCTTCTCCATACATAATTTACCAGCATACTACTCGCCATCAAAATTGGACTGAACTCTTCTGTTATGCAATCTATTAGAAGATAAGTGATTCTTCAGCATCATCACCTATTAAGGAAAAATTACCAAACAAACAACTCAGTGACACAAAAAAACAAACAAAAGGTGAATCCGAAATATTTAACTTTATTTTTTCAAACATTAAGTTTGGTCATTTCTGGCTTTATTTCTGAGACGTGCATGTCCTAGCATGAAAGAGATTTGTTTTAGCCATTTAAACTTACCAGCTATTGGACAAAATAGCAGTATACTGTTTTTGCACCATGAAGTTCAATAAGTAAAACCAATTTTATAAATTACACTGTCAACCCCTGAGACTCGCTTGCATCTAGCCATACTTGTTTCTTCGGTTAACTTAAACATCTGGTTGTCCATAGCTAAATACTAGGCATTTCGAACTGCATATGTGAATGTCTTTTCTAACACTGTACAATTCAATTAACTTTTCAAGTGCAAGATTTCCTAAGCAGCAGATATTGCAAACGCTGAAATTCATCTTAATCCTGACAAACATGAAACGTCATTTGTAATGACAGCAAAATTAAAGATAATGCAATTTTTTTTTCGTCAATGCATTATTAGAAAAGCCTTGTCCTTGGACTTTTCTCAGGAGCACTGTTGTGCACATCTCCTGGGGCACTATTTCGTTTGCTGAGGGCTCTTGATGTTTAAAAATCAAAGTACTTAGTTCATGCAACACAGAAAATAAGTGAAGGTCCTTTCTTCACTACTGAAACACACAAAAATGTTTTTTGAGAAAGTAAACATAATAAAATATATTAACTTCTTTATTCTATGAGGAACTTTCTCAAAACATTAATAGGTGAAACATTGTATTCTGGTAAACCACTCTGGAAATGACAAATTTTTACTCAAATTCCCCAAGTCGTAAGCTCATAACTTGTCCAGGGCTTAAAAATTTCTCACTACCCATGCAGTTTTTCACTGTATGGAATTAATTGTATGGGACCAAGTAAGGACTATATGGTGTAATGAATAGTATTAACCTATGTGCACACAAATGCATATACATGGAGACCGTATTTTTAGGCACTATAAATGTTGATTCGAGGCGCCTAAGACAGGCACTTAAGGCCCATATTAAGGGAAGCAAACGTAGGTACTATAAACTATTTCTAAATCAAAGTTTAGTTTATGTATTGAATGCACACAGCCAACTTAGAAAGTAATAAACTGAAACAGCATTCATCCGTAAGGTGGGAGTGATAACCAAGGTTGTAAAGTCATCACTTCACAATGCTTTGCTCAGCACAAGAGGGTGCTTTATGTTCTATATTCAGATTAATGCAGCCAACGAGCATCACAAATTTGTTCTGACATTATAAGTAGGCAGCATGTACTAATAGCTTATGTTTCCCGTTTAAGATGGTGCATCAAGCAGAGCAAATATGAAAAACAAAATATACCATGAAAGCTGCTCAACAGTTAATTAAACAATTGAAATACATGAATTGAAGTAAAAAAATTTCTAAGTAAAAAAAATACTGGATAGTGTACTTTTACAAATCTTCGAAAAATTTGTAAAAGTAACAGTTACTAGTTTCAACAAGTCTTTTATTTCTCACTATGAGTAAGCTTGTAGCTTGAAATCATGCACTAAACATTGACACAGATAAATAAAATGTATTTTTTGTTCTGTACACTTCATAACTTCATGCAATCCAATATTCTTCAAAGTTATTCAGTAAGAACTTACAAAGTTATTTTAACCAATAAAAATATTCTGTGTTTTTTGAGTCAAACACCCTGCACCTTTGGATAAACTTTTGCAACAGCTGTTGCCACCTGTATGGGAATCATATAAACTTGTGTGATGGTGTAGTAACTATCACAGAGTTCTCATGACTGCTCATGAGAACTCTTAAGCACTTTTTTTTTTTTCATCACTGTGACTAATTTTTGCAATACCATGTTTTAATCACGAGTTGAAGCACTAGAGAATTACAGGCTAAAGCACTGGAAATATTAAGGGCTCATTTTTTTAGACACAACACTAATAACATTTAACAGAAAATGATGCCAAGAGGAGTATTGAGGATGCTATTAGTGGTAATTATAACATAAATGTGAAGAAAGTGGACAAAAAGTCAGTTCTCATTAACGTGAGTGCTCATTAAGGTTAAATCACAGGAACACATATCTCCTGAATACACTCGTTCAAGTAAATGAATTAGGGGAAGTGCAGAAATAGGGGCAGAGCTTTCTGCTTATCTGTTGCATGGTTAGTTGACCGGTATGCCTACACAACCACAACTCTAATTACCGACTGTAACTACAGTCAGCAGTGCTCCCTATGGACTTTTCACACTAATACTTAACACATGAATGACAAGATCTAGAGTCAACAGTGCTTTCTTAACTACAGGCAGCAGTAGATCTTTCTTTAAGTTCAGCACATTGCTAACATAAAGTAATGGTGCCAAAGAAGAAAGCCTATGTTGTTCCTTTTCTTTGTCATTACTAACGAGTGCCAAGCAGATAGTGAGAGGCATTTAAAAAGCTAAACAAATGTTGGCAATGCAAGCACTTGTTTGTCAGGTCACACTAACAAGTGTAACAGAAGTACAGTATACTTTCATTAACTGGATCTTGAAGGGACCATGAAAATACGTTTCATTTAACAGGAGTTCCTTTGATAAGGCTACAAAGTACCCGTAGGAAACCCATCGTGCTGGATGCAGTTGTTTTGTTTAAGCATCAGTTCTGTTTAACAGATTTTAGTTACTGAATGCCTACTGTATTTGGTTGTGTTTTCAAAACATAGTACAGTTAAACCTAGATATAAAGAGATCGATATAAATTTTAAAAAAATCGACACAAAGAGGATTTCGTTATTTGCAGGTTCGGTAAAAAATTTGGAAAATATATGCACAAATTAAACAAAAAGGAAGCTGAAGGCATAGCTAACCTAAAACACTTATTTCGCAGTAAAAAGCTGGATTATTAGGGAGTTTTAAAATAGCGCACCGCGAGCCCTTGCGGTGCGGTCGCTGCCACTGCGCATGCGTCGTAACCTGAGTCGGCGTTCGCGTTCGCGGACCGCACGCGAAAAATCCGAAATTGCGTGCGGTAATGGCGCCCCGCATGTGACCCGCAAGCGCTGGTTTCGAGGCTACGGTGTCGCTGCGATTGTGCGTTGCGGTTAGCAGCAGGGCAAACGCTATTCTAAATCTTATATGGTGCCCGCAGCGCTTGCAAACGGTATTCTAAAGCTCCCTACTATTGTGATCGCAATTATATGGACACTCTCGGCGGGTTTTTGCCGTCGCCACCATGTTCCGTCGTGCATCGTAACTTTCACGAGCGTGTAAAAGCCTGCGAGCACTGCTGAGGCAGAGATCGAATGAGTCGGCCCATCTCTATCACCTGAAAGGCTCATAAGATAACATCCTCCGCATGTTAGAACAGACGTCGAATGCTCAAACAGAAAGGAAACTACACGTCTTGAACGAGCACGAAAAAACGTAGGGTGGGGGGATTGCTCATGTAGCAACAATGAACTTGGACTTTAAGGGCTGTCGCGATCGCTGGAGCGCTTACAATGTCGGCAAGTATAAGTGCACTTTCAACATGAAGGGACTATGTGAAAATCATAGTTTTCTGAAAATAACTAGAGGGGACTCCGGTAATGCGATCGTTCAGCGACCATGGAAATTATGGGTAGTACACGGATTTGCCTAGTTTTCGAGCTTGCGGGTGGCAAATTGCACTTGTGGCTTCGTTTATTGCTGTGTTTCGGTTTTGTTTCGAAGGAAAGAATGAACCAATTAGATCTTTGTGACGCAATTTGAAATGGTAAGCCTAAAAGAATAAGGTGGTGAAGTGCAACCGCTGAACATTTGCTGATTTTTATTTCGCGAGAAAACAGCTCCAAGCCACACGAACATACACGGAACCAGAAGTACAAATATTAGACAAATCCGTGTACTACCCATCATTCTCATGCTCACTGAAGTGCCGTGCATTGCAGCAGCCATAGACTCTAGCGCCAGAGTTCCCTCTAGTGTATATTCAGGAAACTCTATAGACAAAATCACTTCTCCCTGGAGTGGCCGTATTTGCTCACACCAGCGTTTTGTAGTAGTACCTCGATGACGATTCAAAACAGTTGGCTGCCAGCCTTACTTCGCATAACATTATAATTTTTTGCTATTGCGTTCATTACATTGCATTCAACGCGCCGTCGTGTTGTTGCCAAAGCTAATCAGCTAATCACGAAGGCTACGACCCCGCAAACTCACAACTTGGCGCAAGAGGGAAGCGTGTGCCAAGTCGACCTTTGAATATCTATCGTCACCGTTGTCTCGGAGAGTTTCCATCAGCGCCTAATCTGACATCCCCTCGGCAGTGACGACACGGTTGCCCGCATTTAAAAAAAGAAAGAATGAAAGAGCAAAGTTGAACATCGTCGAGGGCCACACTATGCGCGTGCAGTAAAACCATGCACACGGGCACGGCATCCAAATGAAGAGCGAACGACACGGACACAGATACTGCGAAAAACTATTCAGTGAACCCCCCCATATGCAGCGTGGCCTCACATATGTGACGCTAACTAAAAGTGTGGCACTGCCAACACAAAGGTAGATTTTTGTTTTGGTTTTGGTTTGGAAGGAGGAGCACATCCCCGCATGCGCCCGAAGTGGCAGGAATGGCGGCAACACTGGCTCGTGGGGCGCAGGCCCGTCGTGCTCACTCGTGCGCAATTATGAGCGCTCTCTCTAGCCTGCTGTGCCGTGCGCTCCGCTGCCACTTCGCACTTCGTTGGCAACGGGGCACCCGCAGATGATGCATGCTTATACCAAAATCCGGGGCGAAATTCCTGGATTGTCTGAGGGGAAAATTCATTAGATAAAAGTTGTCTCCTTCTGTTACTCTGTTACACAGAGGTCACAAAAACATGTGCTTCTATGGAGCAACGGGGGCAAATAGAAACACTTCGTTATATTGAGTAATTCGTTATATGGAGGTTTATTACAAGCAGGTTTAACCTTATACCAAAAAAGCATTTTCAGATGCTAAAAGAATAGTTAGCCCAGTAGACGCTCTGGACTAATAGAGGTATTTACAGACACTGTGTAGCGAGTGCTAAACCACTTCTTAAACTGTAGTTCTTCCACTGAAGGTATCAAAGGATGGCATACGAGAACAAATATGTGTCTGCCTATAATCTGCTATCTAGTTAGGGTGGAAGATAATTCCCCTCAGTCATGCTTTTTGCCAGGAATTTTAGTGACACCGTGTGAAAAATTTCTTGTTGTATACTACTTAGTGGTAATAGTGATTTGTTCCTCGAAATGAATAGTCATGACATGAGTAACTTTGATAAAAAAATCACTGCTACTATTTTTTTAGCAACACTTTGTGGTCATATCTATTTTGTAAATACCTGTTTTTTTGTTTTTTTTTGCAAAACATCAATGCTGTTCCTTAGAGCTTATTAAGATCAGGCAGACAAGCCCACGTCTTGCCAACTGTAGCATTTCACACCGAGCTGCCTTCATTAAATCTTACCAGCATTACTTTGCACAATTAAACAGTGAAATGCTTATGCTCCCTTATCAAAGCAATACATGATGTTTACACAAGTTATGCTGATGATATGCAATTCATTGCATACACATAAAAGGCTTCCATTAAGAAAACAATACAACTTGGCGCATAATAGGTGGGACACCTTGTGCATATTAGTATTAGTAAAATAAGGCACTGTTAAATAGCAAAGTAAATCTTTCAACCTCTTTCCTTTCTTGTGCCACCATCTTTTAAAACTAATAATAAGAGAGCGAGAAAATGCTTGAAACTGGGAAGCAGCAACCACAAAAATGCAGTCTGAGCAGTCACAGAAAGAAGGACCAGAGTACAGTTTTAAGAACTACTAGACGTTTATTCCCCCCCCCCCCCCTACCAGTACATTCACACATACCAAAGGCACTACTTTTCTCCCAACAAGTCCTGCTGTTTGGCTTTGGTCATAGCATCAGCTTTGTTCACTGTATTTTCTATTTCCATTTTCACCTGCACCAGTACAGAAAAGAGAGAGAGAGTAAAATCACACAAAATATTACTGATATGCCCAACTTGGAGAAAGGTCAAATACAATCTCAAAAAAGCTCCAAGTGTTTGCGCACTAAATATAAACAAATGGCTACTGAGATGACTTGACTGCATTTCCTTCATAAATGTGCAAGTAAGCATTTCCATATATTTAGTGCAATTAACGCTTTCACAAAATATTGCTTCCCTGATAAAAAGCATGTTGTTTCCCTCCCCCCCCCTCGCCCTTTTCAAGGGTTTAGTTTTATGAGAGTTGCAACATGCTTTGTTTTCCCCTGTTTAACTTTTATATAAGTGCTCAAGAACACTTGGCAATAGTCCTGTCTTGCTGCATTGTCAATATTATTTGCAAGTCCCTCGCCCCTCCCCCTTCCACATCAAAGTAGATAAAAGGCTGCAGCTAAGCAAGAATGTAATGGCATCTCTGTTCTAATAAGAAAGTTTCCAATAAAAATACACAAGAAAAAATGCAACCACAGAACACCATCAGATAATGAAGCCAAGAAAAGCACAGGTGGTGGTTTATACGAATATAACAAATTCTCTAGCCACTTTAGTTCATCATTTCTAACATATTTGACAGAGGCAGATCTCTGCCAAATAAGTTCACCTTTAAACAGGTCATTATTTTCAGTGATTTTAACTGAAGTGCAGTAAATATGGGATAAGGATAAATGAAGAGAACACGAAGAGCAAACAAAGATGTTCCACATTTGCGGCCATGGCACGAGTTGAGCCGGCTAACACTCCCAGAGATACACATACATAAACAACCAAGATAGTGGACAGGTGCACTAGAATACCAATATATTAATTATAGGGTTTCACATCATAAACTGCAACATGCACAAGGGAAATTATGAGACGTACTGTAACGGGGGGGACTTGGGACAATTTTGACCAGCTGGGGTTCTCTAGTGGGTGCTACGTCATGCAAGCGTGTCGCCAATCATGTTATGACGTCATCGCCATCGCCGAGCACATAAAAGCGAGACACGCAAAATAAACCTTCCTTGTTCTTGCTTGGTTACTGAGCCGTTCACTCACGACGTAACAGTGGCGACGAGGCACGAATCGACGCGGTGGGAGGAGGCTTTGAAGCGCGGCTGCTGAAACAGGCAGCGATGGCGCCGGGACAGGCGCCTGCATTCACAGAAGAAGAAGGAGGCTGGTCCGCCTACAAGGTACGCTTGGAAGCATGCTTTCAAGCACAGGAAATCACAGACGAGGCAAAACAACGAGCCCTGCTGGTGGCGGCTCTGTCCAATGGCGCCGTCAAAGTACTTCAGGGGCGATGCCATCCCAAAAGCGTGAACGACCTCACCTACAGCGATGTCATCAAGCATCTGCAGAGCCACTACGAGCCGCAGGTCAACGAAACAGCAGCCAGCTACCGATTCTTCACGCGCACACAGGCAGAAGGTGAGCGAGTGCGGGATTTTGTAGCCACCCTTCGCCACATGGCCGAAGACTGCAATTTCGGCGATATGTTGCACCGCATGCTGCGGGACCGCATTGTATGTGGTGTTCGAGACGACGACGTAAGACGTCTGTTGTTGACCCGCGGTTCCCTGACTTTGAAGGAAGCAGAAGACTTCGCAATGGCTGCTGAGGCCGCCGCGGAAAACGCGCAGCACATGCAGCCACTGCCCTCCCCGGTAGCCGACACAACGAATTTTGTCCGGCCGGGCCTCTCACGTTCGAAGTCGAAGAAAGCAAGTGGGCTATCTCGCGATGAGCATCGGCCTTGCACCCGCTGTGGTGCATCCTCGCACCAAGCGGATGATTCTCGTCATCTCCGAACAGTGTGCCATCGATGCCGGAAACGCAGCCACTTGGCACGAGTGTGTAGAGCGTTGGACGAAGACACTAATCGGAGGCAACAAGCGAACGCCCTTTCGCAAGACCCACAAGAGAGTTCGGATGACTGCGAAGCTTTATACACGCTGACTGCGCATCAAGTGACGGACAGCGCGCACGTAAAGCCTATTTTGCGCCAGATAAGTTGGAACGGAGTGCCGCTCACGATGTTGGTAGACACGGGTTCACCTGTGAGTGTTATTCCGCAGTCAGTGTTCGAGCGACACCGAGGCAAATGGCCACGTTTGCAAGCCACAACAATGAAGCTGTCGTGTTTCAAGGGCCCACTTCCTATCAACGGAAAATTGCAACTCAATGCGACCATGAGTGGCACGACCATTCAGGCCGAACTTTTCGTCATCGACTGTCCGAGACCGATGCTTTGCGGCCGTGACACTATCCGCAGCTTCAATACGGCAGGCGTGCCAGTACTCACTGGAAACGAGGTGGCGTGTGTGCAGGCGGAAAATGCGGACAGAATGGTGGAAACCATGCTATCAAAGTAGAGTGATGTCTTTGCTCCGGGGTTGGGTTTGCTCCGAGGGCCACTGGTACACCTGACCGTCAAAGAAGGCGCAAGACCCCGGTTTTGTAAGGCGCGGACGGTGCCGTATGCGCTCAAACAAAGGGTATCAGCAGAGTTAGATCGGCTGGTAAACGAAGGGGTGTTATCACCGGTAACATCAGCCGAATGGGCCACACCCGTGGTGCCCGTAGTCAAGAAAGATGGACAGGTGCGATTATGGGGCGACTTCCGGCTTACGGTGAACGCAGCTATCATAATGGAGCAATATCCGATGCCGCGGGTTGACGATATCTTTGCGAACCTCAACGGCGGAGAAGTTTTCAGCACAATGGACTTGAGGAACGCCTATAATCAGCTGCCCCCTGACGAGGACTCGAAGAGGCTAGTCGTTTTTAACACGCACAAGGGTCTCTACTGTTTCAACAGGCTGCCGTTCGGAGTGTCGTCAGCGCCAGCACCTTCCAGCAGCGCATGAAGGCCGTGCTCAGCGGGATCCCCGGCGTGCAGGTATATCTGGACGACATAATTGTATCGGAAAAGGCAAACGACTGCAGGATCCTGGAGCAAGTGCTACAGCGCCTGAGGGAACACAGCCTGCGCCTACGACGGGAGAAATGCAAGTTCAGGCAAGAGCAAGTCACCTTTCTCGGACACTGCATCGACAGACACGGCCTACGCCCTAAAAGCGACAACATCACGGCACTGCTCGACGCCCCTCAGCCCACTTCGGTAAGAGAACTGAAAGCTTTTTTAGGTCTGTTAAATTACTACGGCAAGTTTTTGTCCAATGTGTCGACCTTACTAGCGCCCTTATACGCATTGTTAGCAAAGGGCGTAAAATGGGTCTGGGGCAGACAACAGCAGAATGCTTTCGAGGCAGCCAAACAAGCAGTGAAGAATGCAAAACTTTTGGTGCATTTTGACCCAAGCAAGCCCATTCGCCTAGAGTGCGACGCGTCAGCAGTAGGCCTGGGAGCAGTGTTGTCGCATCGAGTCGGAGGAATTGACTACCCTATCAGTTTCAGGTCACGAACATTAACAAAAACCGAGAAAAATTATTCCCTGTTGCAAAAGGAGGCCCTCGCCCTCGTATTTGGCGTGACCAGGTTCAGAGACTATCTGTATGGGACCCACTTCGAACTAGTAACCGACCACAAACCGTTAACCGGACTATTCAGTCCAGACAAGGGAATTCCGCCGATGGCCGCTGCCCGCATTCAGCGTTGGGCCCTGCTGTTGGGTGGATATCGGTACAGCCTAACCTATTGTAAAGGATCTGAAAACGTAAACGCAGATGCCTTCAGCCGACTCCCTATTCCTCGGGTGCAGCCCGATAACGTAAAAGACGACGCTCCCGGGTACCTATGTATTATACGCTGAAGCTGTGAACGCGGCACCCATCAGTGCCAAAGAGTTGGCGGTTCTAACCATCCGTGATGCTATGTTACAGCAGGTGCGAAAGTGGATCCTGCAGGGCTGGCTGCAGTACCTGACAGAGTCCGAGGAGCGATTTCGGCCGTTCTTCCAGAAAAAGGATGAGCTGACGGTGAATCAGGACCTCATTTATTGGGGACATAGAATAGTAGTGCCATCAGCGGCTGCTGGAAGTCTTTTGAGGCTCCTACATGAAACACATCCAGGGATGGCGGCAATGAAAAACCTTGCTCGAACCATTTTTTGGTATCCAGGGCTGGATGCCGACATCGAAAGGATGGTACGCGAATGTGAGAGGTGTGCTCAAACCAGTGCAATGCCTCTTGCGCAGGTTCCGGCGCCATGGCCAGAAATGGGCTGGAAATGGTCTCGAGTGCACATCGACTACGCAGGCTCCGTCGAAGGACACATGCTACTGGTGGTCGTAGATGCTGAAACAATGTGGCTGGAGGCCATATCGAGGCGGAGTACGACATCAGAAGCCACCGTGGAAGCGTTGAGGCCCATATTTGCCAGGTTCGGACTGCCACATACACTTGTTTCAGATAATGGGCCACAGTTCGTCTCAGCCGAGCTTCAGAAGTTCGTAAGAATGAACGGGATCAACCACGTGACGACAGCGCCTTACCACCCGCAGTCAAATGGCCTGGCAGAACGCGCGGTTCACACGATCAAGGAAGGCCTTCGAAAAAGCCAAGGGGGTGGCACATTCATTAAACGTCTCAGTCAGTTTTTATGCCGATACCGACGGAAATCGGTAAAGGCTGGGAAGTCTCCGTCCGAACTACTGCTGGGTTATCAGCTACGGACCAGGCTAGACTGTTGCCTCCCGAGTGCAGGCGGGGAACCGCATCTTGAAGAGCGCTCCACCACCATGCCGTTCTGTGCAGGACAGCTGGTGTGGCTGAGAAGTTTGCACAGCCGGCCAAAATGGTTGCCGGGAGTGGTCACCAGTACCCAAGGGGCTCGGATGGCGACTGTGTCTACGCCGGACGGCGAGCAACGTCGTCATGCGAACCAACTGCGGCTGCGCACTCCGAAGACCTCGAACACGACGCAGCCAGGGGGCGCTACAACATCCACCACCACCGCTAACGAAACCTCGCCGATGCCAGCCGGTATGGCTGACCCCACGCCGGCGGGGTCGCCGCCCTCTAGCCAACCTGAGGCACCGCCGCCGCTTCGCCGGTCCAACAGGCTACGGCGACCACCTCAAAGGTTCAACCGGTAAAAGGGGGAGATGTGCTACGTCATGCAAGCGTGTCGCCAATCATGTTATGACGTCATCGCCATCGCCAAGCACATAAAAGCGAGACACGCAAAATAAACCTTCCTTGTTCTTGCTTGGTTACTGAGCCGTTCACTCGCGACGTAACAGTGGGCACGCATACTGAGGTACCTGGGTGTAGGATTAGTGAGGCCTCATAGTTAGGTCTGGCGGTCCTATGCCACCAATATCGTACATGATGAGAGTCCTCGCAGATGACCTGAAACTTCATTCTGCTGACCTTCTGGCTGGAAGCATGCTTGCACTTCATTTGCCGGTAGGTAAGAAGCAGCAGCAATTCCCTGCCTTCCACAACCGCAGCACTCTGAGGAGCAGTTTGTGACGAGCACCCATACACCACTGAGTGCTGGGTTGGGGTACTACTCAACCCATTATTAAAACAAAGAACAAAGAAAATTGGGTCCCCTGCGGTGCTGGGTTTCGAAAACTGAGTAGCTCCTGCACTGGAAGGAGACCCTCCTCTATATTGGCTCTTTTTAAAGAAAACGACTGTAATCTGTAATTATTTTTCTGTCATACATACAAGTTTGGCCCCGTGCACTACCAAAGTGGTGTGGAAGATTGCACTTGGCTGTAGAAAAAGAAATGCTGGGTAGACAGGCCTGAATGACAGATCAAGAAAGCATCAATCTTAAATTCCTCAAGTAACTTTGTGCTACTTATTGCCTGCACACTGCAGATGATACGGCTGCTGAGCACTTTTCAAGCACACCAATGTGCTGTCTGGAAAGAAAAATGCTGAACACTGGTTAATGCATATGCAGGCTGCATGACCGCACTGTAGTCCATCTGATGAGTAAAAAATTACTGTTCCTGGATAGTAGATGGAGCGTGCATCAGCAATTTGCAACTAAATAATCGAAAAAAAAAAGTAATTGCATTTGCCAAAACATATTTTATTATCTATCATGAAATATTTTTTGTATGCTATGAGTGTGGTAGAATGTGCACATTTGCACTTGCAATATTTTTTTTAATAACTGCCATTTGCAAATGATTGTCCTTTTTGTGGAGTCTTCTTTTTCCTGTATTATTACACTGTACTCTTTCACAGCCATCCTTATTACTGCATGTCCCAGGACAAAAAGATTGAGTAATTTGACAAATACATTTGCAAATGTTCAAATTTGTCTGGGCACTGCAGAAACATGCCATCACAACAAGATGCTTTCAAACAGCACTACAGCCTACCTTCAATGTAAGCTAGATATTGAAGGAAACTCAGAACATACCCCCCCCCCCCCCCCATTTTGTGTGGATCTTACAGGTTGGTTGGACTAACAAAAAAACAACATCTGATGCTGCAGCAATAGGCCATGCCCACCAGACCAAAGAACTTTTCAGGAGAGGATTCAATAAAACTGACTCTCCTTGAGGATTTTCACAGACCTTGGAACTTAAATGTGCAGTATAGTATTCAAACATCAATCCGCACACTGCACTTTTGTAAAGTGGATATCGGGTGCAAGGAACTTTTTTTTCTCTTCATATTTACCAACCTTCATAAGCACCTGCAGTCAACAGCATATATACAATCGATTCCAAATGTAGGTCACACCTGCTGAAAAACCTCAAGTAATTTTGGACTACCTATCTAGACACTACATTCAAAGTTTCACCACTTACCTGTAATGTGGCATTATATGAAAGATCTTCAGAGGTATTCTGCTTATTTTTCTGGATCTCCTTGATGTACTTTCGCTCGATACTGAGCAGATCCTCTTTTGCCTTGTTAAATAATGTCTTTGCATTTTTAGCAAGTGATTCTCTGTGCTCTTTTGTGATCCTGTAAGGCATGACAGGTAATTTGAATGATTAGTTGATTCACTGACTACATTTAATGCCTGAATATTGCATAAAGACTATCAGACACAGCACATTAAAAGGTTCTAGGTTAGTCGATCACATGAAGTCCTCAACAAGCACTGAAAGCATGTCAGCAATTGCAATGCAACACTCGGACTGTGTGGCTGCACTGAAGTTCCTTAAACTTTAAAAGTAACAACACTCTCCTCCACAAGTGCTTTCCTACTTAAATTTTGCTCTCACTGGCTATAGCTGCCCACAACATGCTTATCGAGTCTACATCTGCTGGGAGTCTTCAGTTTAGACTTAATTTTTGAACATACTTTCATTTTTTCATGCAAATTAAGTAGTAATAGATATTCCAAGAAAGTGTGCATAAAAAATAAACAAAGCAAAAATAAGGAAACCTAGCCAAAGGTGGTCATCAATCAGATTAATATTGTTGAGGGAAGAGCTGCAAACAAATGTTAAGGAAGACAACAATAAGATGAAAAAATTAACAGCATTGTGTCACTGGGCTTTAACAAAAAAACATGTCTGAAGCACAGCTGTTCCTGGTGTCCTGCGATAAATTCTCATTGACAGTATGGGTTACTATATTTACAAAAAAACCATGTCACTTTCGCCCAAAATAATACTAAGAAAGTAGACCTTCCTAATAAGTAACGATGTTTCAAATCAGCACAGTCTCTCCTACTGATGTTGTGCAGTGTCACAAATGGCTGTCATTATTGCACGTCCTGCTTTCAAGAAAATTTTAAATGCACCAGTTTTAGCTTCTCTCACATCAGGTTTTAGTTTCTCTCACATCAGGTTTTAGTCGCATGTAAGCTTCACGAAAAAACGTAGCAGTCTGCCACGATCCTCTTGTAGGATGACAAGCTTCTCAATAAGCTAAGACATGCAGACAAAGTTTTTATTACAGGACATTGCATTTTCCTTGCGGAGATCCAAATTATGCCATTCCCTTTTCCAACCTGTTTCTGTATTGAAGCGCACAACAGCAAGGAACTCTTCTGGCAATTGAAGCTTATTTTGAAATGACCATAAGTGAAATTAACAAAGGAAGTGGTGCCCCCCAAAAAAAAAGGCCAATATAAGTTTCAGTGTCCATGACGTGAACATCAGCTGATGGGGCAATCTCACACACCGCAGTAAATCAGTGTGCAGGACATGCTGGCCGTAGCAAAAGAAAGAATAGAAAAAAAGAGGTTTTTACCACTGATGAAAATGTGGCAGCGCAGGTATGGGAGTGTCACAAACTGCCCTTAATAAAGCGGCTTTAATGCAACCCGTGCCAACTGCGCCACCACTGAGCTCTCATGCAAATTACTTTCGTGAGAGTTACGGTATGTGCTGACGACAAGGGTGTTACACACAGTGACTGAGTCCAGTTGATGATCACTCATTCAAGATGGCATGGGTGGGGTTCTGCGAGCCGTGTTTTTTTTTTTTTTTTTTTTTTTGCACTCGTACGCCCGCAGCGTGACGCGGCCACTTTCATGATGAGAGATGGTTGGGCACGGATTCAAACGTGCATTTCTTACAGTTTACAAAATGTACTTTATAAAACAAAGTATTTGGCTACCATAAATTAAGAAGCATGATTATTACAAGAGGGACAAGGGCAAAATACTTGTAGCCACTAATGTATCTTGCTTATACTATGGTGTCCTTTTTTTATTTTTATCTTTGTCAGAAACTCTATAACACTACTGGCTTTCTCCTCTCTGTCCCCCTTCTTCCCTCTTTGCACATAGTGCATAACAAACACCTTAGATCTGTCCTACATACACCAGGCTACAACACTTTCAAAAATATGCACTAAATCCTTCAAAGTGTGCCTGCAACCTGCTAGCACTTGTGTAGCCGGCACGACGACACGTGAAAGTAACCACGCTACACCACTGTACGATCCATGACAATAACCCAGTTTAATCAGCGAGTATCGTTTATATACACACGAGCGCAGTGGCGCCATCTATTGTGAGTCCAATGACTCAGAAGGCCATCTGGTGTAAACGCACAACACTACATCTACCCCCTCCTTTGATAATAGAACACAGATTATGTGCATAGAAAAGAAACAGTCACTACCCGTGACAGAAAACTATAGTAAGTCTCCACTGTAAACAAGTCACTGCACATAGTCCCCGAGTCTCTCTGGTGGTCTTCGCTCCCGTGTAGAGCGATGGAGGGGCACCGGCTGCTCTTCTGGCTGATGGACGACCTCTGGTTCGTCGGCACGATCAGCACCCAGTCCTGCGGTCGTGTTCCCCGTTGGTGGAGGCCGTGGTGGGCTTGGCGTATGAGGAGGCAGTGCTGACCCCCCCGGAGACTGTGCAGCTTCCTGTATTGGGATATTTTGGGTCGTGTGGCTCTTTGCCTTTGAGGACGGTTTTCGTGCTGTGGCGTTTCCTGCCGACCCGTCTGTCTCCATGTCCGCCCACAGCGGTTCTTGTCTTGCCCCCGTCTCTTCGTGAACAGCTTCATGGGGTACAGCCGACAGTTGGGAGGTATTCCAGGTACGGCCGTCCTCCAAGTGGAATGACCATCGTCCTACCCGCCTCAGTATTTTGAGTGGAGCCCCAAAACTAGGGGTGCCTTTTATTCCAGGTACCAGGCGTTTCACCCGCACGTAGGCCCCCACTTTAAATTTGGGCTCCCGGGCTGCTCTTCGCTTGTCTGCATACGCCTTATTTCTTTGTTGGTATTCGCAGACACGACGCCGAAGTCTACGCAGTTCACGGGCGGGATGGGTGCCGAAATCCGCTGATGGCTGGCCAACAACATCTAATGATGTCCTCATGTGGCGGCCATGAAGCAAGACTGCTGGAGAGATGCCAGTGGCGCTGTGGGGTGTGGCTCGGTAAATACCCAGGTACTCTAAACTGTGGTCTTGATTGGTCGCTGCTCTAGGAGAGCTAGTTGTATATACAATTTCAAGACCCTGTTGAATCTTTCCACTAAGCCATTGGCTTGAGGGTGGTAAACTGCCGAGAAGAAATGCTTGATGCCCCTGTCTGCAAGGAAGCACTCGAATTCACTCGACGTAAACTGTCGGCCGTGGTCTGAGACTTGTTCAGTCGGGTAACCTTCTTGCGCAAAGACAGCAAGCAGAAAGTTGATCACCGTGCGAGAAGTGATGTCACAGCAGAACGCAATCTCTGGCCATCTGGAGAAGTAGTCCACTACCACGATGACAAATCGACAGTCGGCTGGTGCACGTTCAAAGGGGCCCATGATGTCTATTGATATTTTGTCCCAAGGCCTGTCAGGAAGCGGGACAGGCTGTAGTGGGGCTTGCCAGTTCTTGACACTATTGTCCGAGGCTTGGCAGGCGCTGCAACTCCGGACGGCGGCCTCCACATGCTTGTCAAGACAAGGCCACCAGAACTTCTCCCTGATGCGCTGCTTAGTCTTCACAATTCCCGGGTGTGACTCATGAGCTAACTGGATGAATGTATTCCTTAGCTTGGCAGGCACTACAACGCGTTCTGTGCGCAGAAGCAACCCATCTACTACCGAGAGCTCGTCTCGTATTTCGTAGTACGCAGTCAGTTCTGCGGCAAGTCTTTTCCTTGTTGGCCATGTTGACTGGATAAATTGCATTACCTGCCGTAGTATGTCATCCTCCGCGGTAGCAACCTGAAGATTCTCCCAATGTACAGACGATGTAACCAAGGACACAACCTCTTCATCAACATGAAAGCCCCCTTCTGTGTCTGGCACGGGCAGTCTGGACAAGGCATCTGCTACCTGGTTGTGGGCTCCGCTGCGGTACTGTATTTTGAAGCGTCGGGTCAAACATTCGGAGGACCTTGTGGGATGCTAGAAGTCTTTTTACTCCCGCGAAGCTCTCTTTTGCAGCGTCATCTCAGTCGAAGTGCACGTCTTTGCGAAGTAGACGACGCATAGGCTCTACTTGCTCTGCCAGTCGCGGCACGAATTTGGAATAGTATTCAACTAGCCCCAAAAAGGAGCGTAGCGTGGCTGCATCTCTAGGCGCAGGAGCATTGATGATTGCATCAATCTTGGTCTGGAGCGGTGCTATACCCTCTGCGCTGACGCGATGTCCTAAGAACGACAGCTCCGACGTGTTGAAGACACATTTTTCGTTGAGCTTGAGCCCAGCTTCTGCTATTCGTTCCAGCACTTGCTCCAGGTTTTGCCTGTGTTCGCTCTCCGTCTAGCCAAAAATGATTATGTCATCCAAGTAGCATAAGACCCCTTTGCAACCTCCAAGAATTTTCGTCATGATCTGCTGAAACGCAGCTGGTGCCGATGCCAACCCGAAGCAGACCCTCTTGAATCTGAAGAGGCCATCGTGAGTTATAAATGAAGTTCGGTCCCTGCTGTCTGGGTGCAGCACAACCTGGTAGTAGACTGATGCCAGGTCCACCTTGGAAAAGCAGCGGGCTCCATTGAGGGCATGAAGCAGCTCCTCCATATGAGGCAAAGGGAAGTTGTCTGGTACTATAGTTTTGTTGGGTTCCCGGAGATCGACACACAGTCGAATGCTACCATCTGCTTTGCGGGCTGCTATAATAGGAGATACCCACTCGGAAGCATTGACTCTCTCAATGACATCAGCAGCAAGTAGCTTCTCAATCTCGTCAAAGACCGGCTGGCGGACTGAAAATGGTAGGGGTCTCAGCTTCTGTGTGACTGGCGCGATGGAAGTTTTCACCTTAACTTTGTGTTGCACCCCTCTTGCAAGTCCCAGGCCAGGCAAAAACAAGTGGCCACTTGGTCCACAGTGTTGGCGGCATTCCAAACTTGGAAGGGCCAAGGGGTTTTTCATGCCTGGGGCTTTGGGGAAGGCCTGAACTCATTGCTGGAAGCTCTCGGCATTCCTGCGTGGACATTTGCAGGCAGCGGAATTCCTCTCCCATGATGCGAAGGCCAAGGGCTTGAACAGCATCCAGGCCAAGGAGAGATGTACCACATGGCGTAACATGAAAAGTTACAATGGCTTCT